ATGCACAACGTTATTCATGATCCAGGCCGAGGCCTACTGACCCTGAGCGCAGTTCAGACAAGCTTTGCATCGCAACTCTTGCAATAGTTCACTCCTAGTATTTCTCATAAAGCAACAGGCAAAGAGCTTGAGGAGGATAACAATTATTATATTCTTTGGGGGGGGGGGGGGACAGTTTCATGTTTGTAGTACATGTACAATGTAGATGCAGGTTCAACTCAATATTGGCAATGAACGACTGCTAGTAATTGTAGCAGCCATTAGGTATAATCATAACACTATTCCCAATAACATAGAACAACCACAAGTGTATGTGGGTGCATGCGCATTGCACACATTGATACATACATGTACGCTTACATGCACATGCTCACAAACAAGTACCTCTTGCACACACAAATACACGTACGTCATATACGCGCACCCGCAATAGCATACGCCCACATGCAAAATGCATGCTCTTGAGCTTAGTTACCATATTCTGCTGTCCATTCACTTGTGCACGCGTGCGCGCGCGCACACACACAGCATGCACTGCGCGCACGCGCGCGCGCACACACACACACACACACAACATGCAGGCTCACACGCGTGCCTGCGTATGGGTACAGGTGCATGCATTCATCATAATAGAACTGGTGCGAGTAGTGTAGGAATATTTTCAAACCACTGGTGCTGTACAACACAACATTTACAAAATACTGCACACTCTGACAATAGAGAATAGTACTGCAAAACAACATACTCAATTTTCAGTGCTGCATTTTATTCAAGTGGACGCAGGTGATGACTTACTGCTGGCGACGTTGGCAGCTGACAGGTCACAGCTTTCGTAAATAGCCCAAGTCACTGAGCAGTAGCTCACCAACGATTTACCACTCACTCAAGACTGCAATGTTTTCAGCGTAGTAATATATTTCGCCACTTGAGAATTAGAAGTGGATCCACTTACCAGAGTCTGTGCACCCACTTCAGTCTCTCTCTCCAAGACGCGCTTACAAGTTACAGTAGGTTTTGGTCCCTGGTGTTACACAGCTATCGAGACGCTTGGCTCCGTTCTCCTTGGTCATTTTTTCGTCAAGCAAAATTATTCAGGATCTCGAGAAATCGAACTGTGAAGTCAACTTCTTGCTCACACCAGCGATGCTTTTGAAAACATGCCCTGATACCCACTGACACAACGGAAGAAAAAACAACAGGAACCTCGATGGGGCCCAGGGAAGACTACAGGTGAATAATGAAACAATATTCTCTGATAAGACTGTCGCCATGATCGCGCAGTTCAAATTTTAGTAAGTTGAGATGGGAATTTCCCAACTTTTCGCACTTAGGCCACACTTTGTTTTTCCTATGTTTCTCGTCATCGCCCGCGTAGGTTTACAGAATTTTCGGAAGAAAAAAAAAGTTCATACTTACGGTATTCCTTGGACCCGCGAGGCTCAGGCAGTGAACGACTGAAAGCTTCGTCATGGCAGCCTTCATCGCAGAGAACGGACGTCCCGACGGGGAGCGCTCCTTTGCTGCTGTGTGGTGCAAACGTTTACGATTTTGATTGACGCATCTAGCTGCTGCAGCATGTGCGGGTCCAAGGAATACCGTAAGTTGGACGAGTTCTGTGGCAACTGGCGTCTGTGGGATGATGTCGTGGGCAGAAAATCCAAGCAACAGACGCATTGCGAGGAAAAGATGAGCAGCGTGGGGACAAGAGTTTGATAAGCGGACACAAGAACGTTGAAGTAACAAAACCAAAAATGACGAGTGGGAAAGCGTTTGTTGATGCGATAGCAGATAAATATATGTTCTTTTCGCCATCTCGTATTCATCAAAATAATTACTTTATACTCTCATTGTTGCAGTTTGCCTGATATTCGAGGGCTGATGTGATAGTGTAGTGCAATCATGTGTGTGACATGTACATGGCAGTGTCTTGTATGAATCACGCATATGCATATATAGTAACATATAAAATGTATACAGTTTTCAGTAGAAATTGTTCTTGTTTTTTCCTTGGCTTTTGTTTTTTTCCGCCCGCCCGCATACCTTTTGTTAAAATTTGCTGACGAGAAACATAGAAAAAACAAAGTGTGGCCTTATCGGCAAAAACAAGACTTTTGCCTGCAAAAAAACAGAGCGCCAGACCGGCTGCGCAGCGCAGAAGGTTGGAGCCTCCTTAAGACGCACAGTGGTCGTTGTGGTGTGATGCTTCGGACATCGCACATCGTGCTGTCATTCAGGCTGATGTCATTCAGGCTGATGGTATAATTGTCGAGGATGGCTGCTGGCTGCGGCAGAAGGACGACCGGCGACACATTAACATCGTTGAGCTTGACGCCGTGATCAAGGGGTTGCAACTTGCCGTGCAGTGGCAAGTGAAGGAGCTCACGCTATTCACCGATTCCAAGACTGTGGCTGCTTGGTTGCAATCGGTGCTTGGCAAGGTGTCTCGTGTTCGCGTCAGCGGCCTGAATCAGGTACTTGTACAGCGCCGTCTCCAGATTATCACTGATCTCATCGCTGTCACGGGCTTGACAGTCAAGGTCCAGTGGATCAGCAGTCAGCAGAACAAGGCGGATCAATTGACCCGTGTTCCCAGCAGCTGGATCCGATGTGGCAAGACGCTCCTTGCTCGGATTGCACCGTCCGTCACCGCTGCGGTGGTGACCGTTGGCCCATTCTCATTGGACAGAGTATCTGCTGCTCAGAATGCAGATCCTCGGATTGTTGCGACTCGCCAGCAAGTCATCGATGGTGACCCAGTTACTGATCCTGCGTTTGTCAAGGTCAAGTCACAGCTCGTAGTCCATGATGGTACGCTGTGTCGAAGTGTGAAGTTGCCGCCCAATGATGCAGTCGTCATTCCTGTTATTCCTAGTTCACTCGAGTCCGATGTCGTTCGTGCTGCTCATGTGAACTGTGGTCATGCGTCTTGGGAGGGTACATGGCGCTTCCTCTGCTCGAAGTGCTATTTCCCGAACATGCCCAATGTCAGCAGTTTGTGCGCCACTGTTCGCTGTGTGCTGCTGCCAGCCCAACCAAGGGGGTTTCGCCAGATGCCACTCGCCCTGTGGTGGCTGATGGGCCATGGAGTGTTGTAGTAATTGATACTCTGGAACTGGGCGTCGATCAGAGTGGAGAGTACAATTGTGTTCTCGTCTGCATGGATACTTTCACCAAGTGGGTGGAAGTGGTTCCGCTCCGTCAACATGACGCGGCATCAGTGGCCGAGGCATTTGTCGGCCTGTGTACGCGGTGGGGCCCGCCCCGAGTGGTTCGCTGTGATAATGGCACGGAATTCATCAACGCCATGATGTCATCGCTGTTTGACACGTTGGGTGTGACAGTGCTCAACGGTGCCGTGAGTCATCCCCTATTACAGGGATCTGTTGAGCGATTTAACCGCACTCTCCTCACCTTAATTCGGAAGGTGTTGGATGAGGCTGGTGATTGGCGATCTGAGCTGGACGTGTCATTGTATTTCGACCGTATTCGTCTGCACTCTGTCCTCAAGATTTCTCCTATGCGTGCGATGCTTGGCTGGGAGCCCACCGGTGTGCTCTTCTCGGCTACTCCTGGGCTGGGCCTGACTCCATCTGATCTTGAACGCCAGGCTGCCCGGATCCGTGATTTTGTGGAAGCTGAGCTGTCCTCCAAGGACTTTGTTGAGTCTAAAGCTGATAACTGTCTGTTCGCCGTTGGTGATGCCGTTCTTCTACATCGTTCCCATCGTCGCCAGAAATGTGAGCCGCCCTATGAGCGTGACTGGGTGGTAATTCACATTGTGTCCCCCTCTACTGTGGTAATTCGCAATGAGGCTGGTGGTGGTGAGAAAGTGGTGAATGTTGAACTGCTGAAGCCTGATGTTGGTGCTGAGGTGTTTGCTGATGTGTCTGCTGCAGATGCTGTTGCTGATGTGCCTGCTGCAGATGCTGTTGTTGACGTGGGTGCTGTCCCTGATGCTTGGTCTCGGTTTGATCCCCGTGATCCTAATTATGTGCCGCTTCGAGCCCCTGCCGATGATCCTGCTCCGTATCAGTTTCGCCCATATGGCCTTCGTCAGCGTGGTTCGCTTGCACCCCCTCAGCGTTTTCGTTAGTTTTGCTTTGTGGCGCTATTAGTATTTGTGGTGGTATTTTGTTTGGCATACCACCAGGGGGAGAGGTGAAGTAGAGTAACCCTCTTGCGCATGTTGTACGTAATGTAATGAGTGATACGTACTTTCGATATTGATTTCGCTGGTGCACACGTTGGTGCAGCGCTGGTGAACGCGCTGGTGCACGCGCTGATGCACGCGTTGGTGCAGCCAGTTGTTTTGCGTTGTAAGTGATGCAGCTTGTTGAGGAGAAGGGTTTTCAATATCTTGTGTTCAGTTCTTCTTCCTTCTGGCCTGGTCAAGTTCGTGCTTTTTTCTTCTGTACACTTCTTGTGCATTTTGGAATTGAAATTAATAATTATAGTCCAACTTATATCCTTGCGCTGGTCTGGTGGTGGATAATTCCACAACACTCTCGTTTTGTCTGTCCATTTTTGTGTATGGCTGATCCGCTGTCTTCTCTGTGTGTGATATGTAATGCAGTTGTGTGCACAAATCCCTGGGTGAAAAAGAACAAAGCATGTGAATGTAAACCGAGACCAGGCGGACCCATCTGCACAGAAGGTAAGGGCTAAAAAAAGCTGCTGTCATTGTAGTCTGCTTGTCAAAGAACATATGACCCATGCATACCCGCGTGCTGGACTGTTGTATTTGAAGACAAGAAAAAGTAGTTCCCAGCGTTTTTGCCTGGTTCTCCAGCTTATTACTGAACGTGTGTTCTATTCAAGTGCAAGGCATGAGTATCAGTTTGATATACCTGGGATTGGTGAATGGGTGTTAGTGTTAGCGTTTGTGGCGATGTTGAGGTCTATACAATGTCATGATGATCAAGATACATGCGACAACGACTTGAGAATCCAGTAGGTTATTCAAGTTCTATCCCTATTTGTGTGTTTTGGGAAATACGTGAATGCACCCAATCTCTACTGCAGTGTGCAATTGCTTGAATGATGGTGAGTGTACTGAAGACGGCACCTGCAACTGCCGGAAAGGTTTCCATGGAGACCAGTGTCAACATGGTAAGTAACTGCTAAATGAAGTGAATACTCGTGTTTCTTTGATTCACATGCCCCTGGGAATTGTGACCATACATGGGCATGCATACATCAACAATTATTCATAAGTTATGAATCGGTTCGGAACCAAATTTGGGTTCCGAACCGATTCATACCTGTGATTTACCACCCCCTCCTTTTGGACACAGGAAGCTAGTGCTTGAAGACAGCATGCCTTTCTGGAGACCATGCTCGAGATCTCTCTGACTTCCCAAGAGGCGATTTACATGACGGCAGTGCATCCCGCCGGGAAGAGAAGCACGTGATCTCGAGAGCTTGCAAAACAGACCACGGAATGTCACGACATGCATTTCCAACCACCGCCCCCCTCCCCCCCCCCACCCCCTCATGGCGCCGGGACCGTACCGGGATAGCCGGCGGGATACGTTCGCGCCAAAATATGAGCACATGTGACTAAATCTCCATGGTAGCATCAGGCACGGGATGAATCCTGCCGTCGTGTAAATCACCTCTAAAGCTTTTGATTGTTACAGAAATTGTCTCAAGTGCCAAAGAAAGTGCCTCGGAAGTTTGATTATTGGTATACCCCCCCCCCCCCCCGCCCCTCCTTCCCTCACTATCTATGAATTAACCATGGCTCAGCTCTCCAAACCCGGTGCAAAGACGGTTACCACAAAAAATTTCAATAGCCTGCTTGCATTTACGCCTAATCAGAGTAACGTTACTCAAGTAGATAATCAAGCAAGATACGGAGGGCTTGATGGCTGATCGAAGCCCAAGGGACCAGTCCGAGGGCTTTGATCAGTCATCAAGCCCGACTGTACCTCGCTTGAATATGCTTCAGACAATCCCCAACCAATATTTTATCGGAAATAACATGCATCTTAACCTCTCTATTATTTGAACTGGATTCTGGTATCCATCTGAGAAAGTCGGTGTTCGTTGTGTTCTACTTCGCCTGACTGTCTCTTGCATGTGTACCGTGTTATATTCAGCTTTCAAGACAAAGTGCCCGGGCACAAATAATGCAATATTCACCTGGATGGCTCTTGCCAGCTTGCCGTGTTATCCACATCTCGACTATGGCAGTTGCCAGAAGAAAACGAACTTCGTGCACGCCCGCGAGATGTGCGTGAGAAGAGGATACAACGTCGTAGACTATAATTCCTTCACTGGACTTGGCTTGAAGCTGGGTGTTAGTGACTGCATAAAATCATTGGTGAGCGAGATGATGGCTAGACGTAACAGCAGTTACAGCACCCCTCTCAAGATATGGACATCGTACATGTACTTTGGTCAGCATGTTATTTACAAGCAAGGCAAGGACAAGTCGAGCGACGCACTATTTGACAGGGGTGGAAGAGGCAATCATGATGTCATCTGTGAAGGTAGGCTGTTGCGCTTTTAACCCATTTAAGGCTATAGGCCATGGCACCCAGGCTCTGCACTTCTTATTTGGCAATGAAAAAGATGTATAATCTATACCGGTATATACCATACTTCCCCACATATAAGCCCATGGGCTTATATGTGAAAATTTGCTGCGGAAAAGAGTTTTTGCTGTGTGAACATGCCCGGGTAGAAGCCCATATGCTTATATGTGCAATAAAGGTTTGTCTGTGTTCTAAACAACGGTGTTATCACAATGCTTAGCAGTATATTCAGCTCCCGGGTGTTTCACCAATAGTGTTGACATTATAAGCGCATTAGGAAACCAGAGGCCACATGCCACGTACTGCTCTTTTCTCTCCGAAACTCAACACTTGCAAGCCAGATATGAAAGAAAGAAAAAATCATCAGTCACGCCACCGGGACTCGAACCAGGGACCTTGCTATTCGCGAGCAATGCTCTAACCAACTGAGCTACAGTATGACTCTTATCCACAGTGATGGTCAATCTATCCTTCTTCGATCAATCCATATCTGGTACTCCGAGTTTCTTGAGTTTTTTTCAATCGTCAGGCAACTTTTCTAATTCTCTATATATAGTTAGGAACCTTGGGAGCAACCACTCATATAGATACGTCCTCAGCGCCTGGGCATCATTTTCAATGATGTATATATATATAGCGGTTAGTGGGTTAAAGGGGGTGTCCAGTGATAGTAGTGGGACAGGAGGAATGAAACAGAGACGGCGAGAGTAGTGAATGCAACCGAGGTTTCCCTCTTCAATGAGAAACCTACCGCTCTAGCCAGGGTCATATCCACACATGAGTAACCAATTAGTTTCATCTGCGAAGAAACATTTCATGTGTATGCTTGCGCCATAACCCGGTGTTATACTACTCCCTTGGTAGAACCGCTGAATGATTTGCAAATGTGACACGGTGCTGCTCTACGAAGTCTGGCGAGCCCCAGGCCTGTGAACATTGTAGTGTTGAAACTATCTCACCGGATACTCGTTAGCTCGCTCGCCAGAAACTCGGCTCGTTTGTGCGGCCAGCTCCTTCGCACTAAAGAACACCGTACACCATACTCCGTACACATGGCAGTACATGTCGACCGGGGAGTCGTAAAATATTTTACGACTCCTTGGTCGATCGAGAGTCCAGTCCCGCGCAAAGTGAAAATCACTCGCATTTGCAGTGACTGTATGCCTGCACGACACTTTGAGTTGCTTCAGTTGTCGTTGCAGCTTTGGTGGACTCTACTGATGTCTTGTTCCGCATCTGCTGACCTGTCGCAGGATATGCTTCGGTCACCTCCATTCGAGTGAAAGTTACGCTCAGTCGTTTAGAAGTTTTCTCCCGCGATGCAGCGGAGACCAGGGCTACTTCCCATTTTTGCAAAACGGTCTTTTCTTTCAAAGGCTGCTCAAAAACGGCGCTGAAAAGACATCTCGACACCAAACAACAGTCCGAAGTGAAGCAGCAGCAACCCCAAATGCCGGCGGTGATAATTTGAACCATCTGAAAAAAGTCGAACTTAAAATAGAAAAAAAATTATTCAAAAAATCATATTTGCCACATCAATGAAACTCGTTAGCTCGCTCGATAGGTTGCTCGTTAGTGAAACTGATCGCTCGTTCGTTATAGATACGCTCGTTTCAACACTAGAACATTGAACTACTCACTAGCTCTGGGCACTTCCTTATCCATGAGATCGGGTGTCATGGAGCGGGGCGTTTGATTTCAAGCTCCCCTTATTCGTAGATTTGTTTCATGATGTGTTTCTACCCACAACTGTATCTTCCCTTGCTTTGCAGCCAAATGGCTCCAGGCCAACGGTTCTGTACACGCCGCAGCAACTCCAGCACACAGACCCAGCGTGACTGAGCAGTTCGCAGAGGACGCATGTCAGGAGTACGGACATCATCTCATTACCAAGGAGTGGCTAGAAGAACATGGCCATGTGTTAACAGAGCGCTGGCTAGAGAAGTTGGCCTTATTGCATAAACACCAGCAAGCACCTTACCACGTCGCGTCAATCCGAGTCAATGGCCATTCCCTTTACAGAACCGTAATGTTTAGCGCGCGAAAGCAGACGTTTCAGAACGCCACAAGCAAAACTCAAGCCCAGATTCTCTGTGTCAGTAAGTGAGACAAGGCTTCTTAACTTAAACGGCTGACCATGCGCAAGTAGTGCTCTGCCCTTGTGTGTGACATCAGCACGATGAGTATACTGTTGTGCATTTGTGCATTTGTGTAACATGTCTCCCGTGCCACTGTTAACTGTGTGAACAGGGCTTGTGCTAATAATGTGCCACTATGTACGATGTGACCTTGCAATGTGCAAACATGTCGTATCCAAGCATTTCTTTAGTTTCGATTGCGACTTGCTTGTTTGGCACAAGCAACTTTATTTGTTGGAAGAAAGTCTATGCAGTGTAGCGTGGCGATTGTCCGCAACCCTGGGAGCGCAGGCCATATCCAGGCGTTCGCAAGAGGGGTATGATGGGATATTATTTTACAGTCAAACACCGATTGTGCGGACGTTAACTCTCCGGACAATCGGTTATCCGGATCTCCTGGTCGGGCTGGACAACATACAAAATTGGCAGCTTTTTTTGAAGTTTTGCTGATTTTTGCCACTCGGAGCAGCACTCAAGCCATGCCCAAGATGTTTTACAGCAGGTTGTTCAGTCAAAATGTACAACGATGAGAAGCTGGAGTGCACCTAGGTCCTGTTGTACTACCGAAGAGAATTAAAAATGGTGAAAATTTGCTGGAATATGCATGTGATAGATGTATGAGTGGTCCCATAACCGACCATTCTTCTCCTCTGATCACCGTGGAAATGGCCAGTGCCCCGAAGGGTGGCTGACAATTGGCACCCTGCTGTATTTTAATGGCAACTGTCAAATGCACTATGCTTTAGCTCATTGGCAGATCCTATGAGGGTAAATACTGAAAAAATCCCTGCTCTCAGGCATCAGTTCCTATAATTTTTTGCTGCATGATAAGGTTTCTTGGACTATCATTTTGGATTATCAAAAATGTCAAGTGTTAGGGACTGTAAAGGCCGATTCACAATACAAATTCTTGCGACGCGACATGCAACTTTACAACACCTGCGACGAGCTGCGACAGCGACACACAGTTCACAATAGATGATATCCCAAATAACGTGCTACTAGACTTGAGGGGGCATTGCACACAAGTTGCATACAAATTATACTACAATGTGTACATGGTAGGCCCTGAGCTCTGCATGAGGACAAGTCACAGGTAACTGTACAACTTTGAACTTTGTATGCAACTACTTACTCTGCAATGTCCTCCCAAGTCTAGTTGCACGTTATATGGCATATCATCTATCGTTTTCATGTTTGCGACATCCTTATGCGCTAGTAGTACTATGCACGTGCACTGCACGTGCACCCAGGGTCGAAACAGTACTCCATTTTGTGTATGTCGTACAACATTCTTCAACTTCTGCGACAGGTGCCTTGCAACAGCTTGCGACAGCTCGCGACAGGCAGATTCTTGTCGCAACTGTCGCAAATCGTGTGTCACGTCGCAGAAAGTTGTACTGTGAATCGACCTTTAGAGTGTAATGCAATTGACTTTTTGTTGTCCTGTTCTGCACAGAGACATGTGAGACCGGTGTTCTTGGACCAAACCTGAGTTGTGTGTGTAACCGCACCTCAACCTATGGTCAATATTGTGAAAAGGGTAAGACACCGAGCCATTCTTTTTTTGGTTTGTCTGAGAACACGCCGCAAGACTGCTGGAGATCATCCAGTATCATGATCTATGCAAGCGGAGAGACCGGCCCAATTTACCTAGACCACTTAGTTAATGTGAAAGTCATGGAAAGCCTTGTACCTCGGATGAAGCATTTGCTGGAGATGGCTGACATTGCCACGGCTAAATGGTTAATTAACTCGTGCTCAAGGGTGTCATCGATTGGCGAAACTGGATTGAGTGCGAGCAGGCAGTGACATTCGAACAACGCTGGCCAAATCTAACAAAGCAAGGGTGTATTACGCAAAATGCACGCATGTCGTACAAAGATTCTGTGAAGGCTTCCAAAAAACTTCAACGTCCATTTCCACTCCAGCGACTCCCGGGTTGGGGGCCGGTGTGGTCGGATTCCACTCCAAGTACACCTACTCCGGATTCGGCCAGATTAGGCCAATTGATCACGCACTTGCTCGGAACGCACTTGCTCGGGATTCGCCCTATCGATCATGCCCATCCCAGTCAAATGTTGTTGTTGTTTCAAATCTTTATTCTCACGATAGCCAGTGGCCAATAAGAGATAATAGTGTAAGAAAGGAGAAAGAGTGAGGAAGAATTGGGTGGGCAAGGCCTAGGGGTTAATGACTACTTAAGTGTACGGGCAGGGGTGGTCGCCACACGAGCATACAGAGTTGCGTACTTAAGTGTACGGGCAGGGGTGGTCGCTACACGAGCATACAGAGTTGTGCAACAGCAGGGATATCTCGGATTTGAAGGGAAAACGAGAAGGGATTTCGCGAAGCTGGGTGGGCAAGCAATTAAAGTAATGAAGGGCTTTGTACAGGGGAGAATGGAGACAGCGGTCAGTCCGCGGAGTTGGCAATGCCAAGTACGAGAGCGACGTAAATTATACGAAGGTTGCACGTTGCTAGCAGTATGCAGCGAGAGTATATGTGGTGGGGCATAATTGTGGCGCAGAGAATGCGCGAAGAGTATATGTTTAACTTAAAAGTGTGAAAATAATGCTGGCCATTTGATGCGATGCAAAAGGTGGGAGTGTTCTAAGTGTGTGTAAAGGGGAAGGTGGAGACATATTCTGGCGGCTTTCCGCTGGAGTCGTTCTAGCCTGTCAAGGGAAGTGTGTGACAACGGTGTGAGAGCATTGCTCGCATATGAGAATATAGGTAGTATGTATGTCTGATAGATGTGAGATAAAGAATCACTGGTGAGTGTAGACCTTAGTATAAAAAGAATATTGAAAGACTTGAGTGATTTTTTGACTATGTATTCAACATGCTCCGTCCAACGGAGGTCATGCTTAAAGATTATTCCGAGTTGTTTGTGTTTTTGTGCTACGGTAAGCGGAATATTCCTGAGGGTGATCTGGGGTAGCTGTTCAGGGGGGCGGTTGTTGTGGTAGAACGGGAGGATGACTGTTTTCTTTGTGTTAACCAGCAGATGCCATCTTTGAAGCCAGTCTCCAGCTGCTGTGACACTCTGTAGTTTCGGGTGCAGTCTTGAAGAGTTCTTGCTTTGGAAATCAGAGCGGTGTCATCTGCAAATTGGCTACAGGTGGTGCCGGGATTCTCACTTGCGTGTGGAAGGTCTATGTTGTAGACGAGGAATAGAAGCGGCCCAAGAATAAATCCCTGAGGGACGCCCACAGGGATCTCGAGGAAAGGCGATAGGTCGCCATCCACCTGGACCCTCTGCCGACGCCCCAACAGGTACCGTCGGAACCACTTCAGGGCGTTGCCCAGGACACCATAGTGGGAGAGTTTTGCTGGAAGGCCGGCATGCCACACACGATCGAAGGCCTTGCTTAGATCAAAAAAGCAGGCATTGACGTGTTTCCCGTCGTCTCTCGCAGTGGACAGGGTATGGACGAGACGGGCGATCTCCTGCTCAGTGCCGTCTTTCACGCGGAATCCGGACTGCTGGTTGGGCAGGTGGGGTGTGATGTGCTTGTAGAGGAGTTGACGTGCAATTTTTTCTTGGATTTTTGATGTAGTGCTCAAGAGAGAGATGGGTCTATAATTTGTTGGTTGGGTTGGGTCACCAGGCTTGAGTACTGGAGTAATGGTGGCATCTTTCCACTCCTGTGGGATTTCTCCGGTTTGGAACGATAGATTAAAGAGGTTCGATAACGACGGTGCAAGTTCCTTAGCCGCTTCTTTGAGTAGGCGGTTTGGAATAGAGTCGAGCCCGGGGCTTTTGTTGGTATCAACTCCGCGGAGGAGTTTTTCGACCTCAGCTTGGGAAGTCGAGATTTCTTGAAGGGGACTGAGGATGTCAGGGGTGGTGTTGATGGCTGGAGTTTGCTCATCTGCATTGGCCACGGACAGCTTGCTCTGTGAAATGAAGAATTCGTTGTTGTTGTTGTTGTTTATTTTTATTTTACTTCACCAAGTGAACAGGCATTTCTGCCTTCTCACCAGGTCAGCGGAGACCTAGTTCCGACTAAATGATAAATGTCTCGATTTCCACTAAGCATAGAGTAACACCCCGTGCATTTTTCTATGCCACTCCGTGCATGCGTTTATTGATGGGCGTTGCAGCATGCAAGTGCTTGAATCAGGGTCAGTGTGACAACAAAGGTGAATGCAGCTGCCCGAAAGGATTCACCGGAGACAAGTGCCAACTCGGTAAGTAGAAGAGATTTAGTTTTCTTCAAGTATTCTTTTTCAGTTCCCTTGGGATTTTTTAATCATGCACTGACAAGTACTTTGACTCGCTAATGAAGGAGTCCACGCTTTTTGGACATGATCGTACGAGGCATAATAAGAAATTCTATGTCAACAGTCCATGGTAGCCATGGAAACAGAGTGTGGAATTTTGCATTCCACTGCCATGGCAATCAATATGCCTTGGTCGAAATTCACTTTGGACGCAGTTGCAAGCGCTTCGACAGGAACATGGGCGCCCATTTTGAAAATTGATAAAATTGCACATATGCAATGCCCTGGATGTAGTCTTGCCTTTTGTGCCATTACTTTGTACTACAAGAACCTCATCTCACCCATTGTTTCAACAAGATTCTCAAGCAACAGCACTTTTGCAGCGCGATTTCTTGGGTTCTACCGGTAGGACCCGTGGTCTTACCGGTAGGACGGCAGGCTAGCTATCATTAACAATCCAGAATCACGGGTGGTCAATATCATTCTGGAATTGCCCAACCAAATGCAACTTTAGTCTGTCTGACTTCGTGTCTGGCTGATTTGCTCTCTTCCTCTTCTTCCCCTTCCTTGCGATGTGTGATGCAGTTGTGTGTACACATCCCTGGGTGAAAAAGAACAAAGTATGCGAATGTACGGCCAAACTAGATGGACCTAACTGCACAGAAGGTAAGGGCTGAAGAAAGCTGCTGTAATGTATGTAGGCATGTCAGAGAATGTATGACCTATGCTCTCACGCATGCTTGAATGTTGTATTTTGAAGACAAGAAAACAACTCCCGAGTCCTCATGCGGGCTTCTCCGACCTACTCTGCAACATATGCTCAGTTTGTAGCCGGAATGTAATAATTTTAAACTGATTGGGAGAGCATATGTCGGCTACAAGAATTCTGGCTAATCTGAACACTGCAACTAGAATACACCAAAAGGGGCGAAGAAGCTAAAATATTGTGTTGCCTTGTAAAAAAAAAAATGATCTAAAATATAAGAAAAGAAGAAGCTACAAATTAATACATCTCTGCACTTGAAGTGTAAAGCGTGAAGTGTGCAAAGCAGCGTGCACGGAAGTCAATGCTGCGCCCCTACCCCTTCGGCAAAAATATTGGTATGGGGAGTTGGACACCCTCGTAAGTGGTCAAAAGAGCTGGTTTGAGGCGTCCATGATGATGGGCAAGGACATGTGAACAATTTCTCGACAGTCCGTTATTCTATTCCTTTTCGTGTGCTTTGGAAATGCGTGAATATTCCAATCACTGCTGCAGCATGCAAATGCTTGAATGACGGCCAGTGCACCGAAGATGGCACCTGCATCTGCCGGAAACGTTTCCATGGAGATCAGTGTCAGAACAGTAAGTATATGGCGTATGAAGTAAACCCGTGTTTTGTTCATGTTTCTGGAATACTGTAAAATGACGCAAATATTAACCATCGTGAAATCAAGCTTCAACAGTGGGTGTATGTAGGTGTCCACTGTGCTTCGCGACCTTTTGCCATCGCAAACTTGTTGGTTCTAAGAAATCGCGAAAATTTAGTGACGCGGATATTGGGCGATTTACTGTAGTCGAAAGCGCGGCTGCTGTTGGCTGTGAGCTGCGCTTGGTGGGTCTTTACATTTGTGGCATTCTCCGTCCGCACTATGTACACGCCAGTGTCCGAGTTTACCAGGCCCACGGGCACCATACAACAGGACAGCTAGCTCCATGGACCTGCAGGCGGGGAAGATCATTGGACATGCATTCGTAGTGCGTTTGTACGTGCGGCTGTTCATAGTCCCATAGGTCTGTCCATGTGGCTCTGCAACAAGATACCTGGCCACGTCAGGTGCACTTGCAGCATTACGAACCAATGCGAGTTCGATTATGAAGATATTAGAGTTCATTCTTCTCGGCAGCATATTCTTGTACACGACCGCACTATAACCGATATATACTGTAACAGTTTAGGGCAAGGAACAAAGCAAATAGCGCCTGACGTAGGTGTTTTGTTCGGAAGTTTGAGGAAAGTTGAGGGCGGAAAAGTCTGATTAAAAAATTGACTGCCATCACCAGAACTACCGTAAAACTTGGTTTCAGCGACCACTCCAAGGTGCAAGCAAAAGCGGTCGTTAAAGCCAGGTGGTCTTTAGAACCAGGTCCCACAGTGTCTGTGTAGAACTGTCGTTGCATGGAAAAATGGTCCGTGTTAAGAGCAGGTGGTCCCTAAACCCAGAGGTCGCTTACACCAGGTTTTACTGTATAGCTGAGATGATCCGATGATATTTGGGATCATTTTAGTAAACAAATTCTTAAATGGACTGCGGTATCCCTACTGAGCAAGTATACGTCTTGTTAAGCTGTGGTCCAGTTGTGTTCTACTTCACCTGACCGTGTCTTGCATGTGCACTGTGTTATGTTAAGGTTTCAAGACAAAGTGCCTGGGTACAGATAAGGCAATGTACACCTGGATGGCTCTCGCCGGCTTGCCGTGTCATCCACACCTCGACGGTGACAGCTGCCAGAAGAAGACGAACTTGACGCATGCCCGACAGATGTGCAAGAGAAGAGGATACGACGTGGTAGACTATAATGCCTTCACAACCCTGTCTCTGGGCGTGCGGGACTGCATGGAAGCATTACTCAACAAGATGATGGCAAGCAATTTCAAAAACCCTATCACAATATGGACATCTTTCTTGAGGTATGGCAAGCATGTCATTTACAAGGAGGGCAAGAACAACTTAAGAGAAGAGTTACATGATAGTAGTGGAGCAAGCCATCTTGATTTCGAGATGATGGCGAGCGGTGACAGCAACCCTATCTCCCTATCGTCAGGGCAAGGACAAGTTAAGAACAAGTTGAGAGAAGAGTTACATGATGATGGTAGTGGAGCAAGCCATCTTGATGTCAAGATGATGGCGAGCGGTGACAGCAACCCTATCTCCCTATCGTCAGGGCAAGGACAAGTTAAGAACAAGTTGAGAGAAGAGTTACATGATGATGGTAGTGGAGCAAGCCATCTTGATGTCAAGATGATGGCGAGCGGTGACAGAAACTCTATCTCAATATCGGCATCGCTCGAGGAGGATGACCAAATTATCATGTACCAGCAGCGCAAGAACGAGTTAAGAGAAGAGTTACTTGATAGTAATGGAGCAAGCCATCATGATGTCATCTGCGAAGGTAGGCTGTTGCATTGTGATCATATGAACGAGTGAGAGAAAAATGTTGAGTAGCCAGGGACGAATGGATAGGGTAGGCACGACAAGAGTTATTACAACCGAGGTTTCTGAGTTCAATTGGAAACTGATCGGTATAGCCAGATTCAGACCCACACACACGGAAGCAATCAAAACACTTCTGTCATATGCTTATGTAACCCGGCATCATACTACTCCCTTCGTTTGACCACCGAGTAATCCGCAACTATGGCATGGTTCTGCTCAATGAAGTCTCCCCAGCCCCATAATTAATGACGTCAACTTGAAAGTCAGTCGGGAGAGCAGGGTATGTGGAAGTTGCACACTCTGGGGAGTTATGTACTCTTGGTATAACCGCTGGGTGATTCCCAACTATGGCACGGTGCTGCTCAATGAAGTCCACCCAGCCCCATGGCTGCAAATATAGGCCGACACCTGAACCTGTCTCAGAATAGGGGTGAAATGGTAGCATTGACCTTTCCGTTAGACCGGGTTTTATTGAGCATGACTAGATTGTGGTCACCCGTTATTTAGATTTATTTCGTAACTTTTGTCAAAAAGGCAGAAGAGACCAGAGAGAATCGGTTAAATAATTGTTGTAATGCTTCGTTTCATGCACAAAGTGGAGCTAAGGCAGTCCTTTGTTGGATCGCTCCATCCTGGTGGTGTTGAGTACTCCAAGCCATCTGGGAATGCTCACTGTTGTCATTGCGTTTGTTATACATACAGTTGTTCCTCTCTAATCCGGCACCTTTTGCAATGGAATTTTTTCTGCTGGATAAACAAGGGTGCCGCGAGTGGATTATCAAATCCTGCCCTCCAACCCGGCCCACATGTTACCATACATGTTTGTGTCGTATATCAAAACATAGGGATGTTCTGTGTCAAACCAAGTACTTTGTGGAATCATGGAATGCATGTCTATAACATACACTTGGGAATATCTTATGTACTAGCATAGGATATTTATTCCCAAATGTATGTTACATGTGTTGTGTATGTTACAATGGTTCCTGACAGTATGCGATGTACAACTGCTGGATTAGAAAATCAAATTATGTTCAGTTTGAGTGATCTGTTGCAGAAATCGCTGCTGGAGGCGGAATTCAAGTGCCGGATTAAAGGGTAGAAAAAGAACTGAAAAATTCCGTTTTGCCAGAAAGTGTGCTGCTTTGCAAGGGTGCTGGATAAACAAGTGCCGGATTAGAGAGGGACGACTGTATTACCTAATGCCTACTGTATGTGCCCTTGTTTTGCAGCCAAGTGGCTTCACGCCAACTCCTCAGTATACACCACAGCAACGCCAGCGCTGAGGCCCAACGTCACTGAGCAATTCGCAGAGGAGGCATGTGAGCAGTACGGACTTCACCTCATAACCGGGGCCTGGCTGCAAGCACATGGCCATGTATTAAGAGAGAGCTTCCTAGAGAGATTGGCTATTCGGCAAGCACCTTACCACGTCAAACCAATCGTGGTGAACGGCAACTTCCTTTTCAGAACCGTAACGTTTAGCGAGGGAAAACAGAGGTTTGTGAACACCACAAGCAATCACCGAGCCCAAATCCTCTGTGTCAGTAAGTGAGATGTCTTGAACTTTTAAAAGCAATACGATAAAATTATAGCATGTGCCTAACAAACTCGGCAACCTGCACCACTGTGACTGTTTATGCAACTTTTCACCGTACCTGTGGCTTACCATGAGGTCAGAAATGACGTACTGCACGAATTACGCTCCCACAGGAACCACCCTGAGTTGCACACTCTGGTTTATGTAAACTTGTCGTTAGTGTTTGGCACAAAACACATAACTTGCAAACCTTGGGTCCTCTCTATTTTAATCCTTGCCTTTACATCCGAGTGTGACCTATTATTATTATTATTATTTTTTTTTTTAAAGAGGTCGGAGGCGGATAATACTTTAAAACGAAGGTAAGTTATGGGTCGCAAGTATCCACGCAAACACACATCCAGTCATAGTAAGGCACTTGTCATAAGTATCCGAACGTTTTCGGTCCCTTCTCATCAAGGATTATACAGGGAATGGCTCAAGCTGGAAAGACTAAAACTTATATAGCGTAAAGATAATTAGATAACAACACTCGTGACAAGGTGGAAAATTATCAAGTTTAGCACGACACAAAACTCGAAGGAAAATAATAATAGTTACAACAACATAGTGAGCAAATTAAGTTACATTGTTTTCCACCTTGGCACGAGTGTTGTTATCTAATTATCTTTACGCTATATAAGTTTTAGTCTTTCCAGCTTGAGCCATTCCCTGTATAATCCTTGATGAGAAGGGACCGAAAACGTTCGGATACTTATGACAAGTGCCTTATTATGACTGGATGTGTGTTTGCGTGGATATTTGCGACCCATAACTTACCTTCGTTTTAAATTATTATTATTCTTATTATTTAAATTTTTAAATGGGCAATCCCCACAGGCGAATTGTATCATATTTGTTTATGAATGGCTGTTACGAGTAGATCTACTAACGGTTATATGTGTTTTGTCCTAGTACTATTTTCGAGTGCTGGCTTCAGTGCTTCAACAGTGTTCACGCCCCAGTTTGCTTGCAAGCAGAAGTTGCCTGGTAAATTTGTGTAGTCTAATTTCTCTATCTCCACTGCTCACTGCGTAACCAAACCGTGTATTTTCTCTGTTTCACGCCATGTTGCGTGTATGCGGTGGCTGCTGCAGTGTGCAAGTGTTTGAACCAGGGTCAGTGTGATGACAAAGGCAAATGCATCTGCCCGAAGGGATTCACCGGAGACAATTGCAAGAAGGGTAAGTAGAAGCAGGCGTCCATACCCCCAAGAGGTTGCAACTCTGTACATGGGGTCCGCGCGGCGGAATTCCAACATTACGTCAAAAATGACGTACACGTTCGTTGCGCTTGTACTACTCCCTGGTGCCAAACAAAAAATCCAAGCACCGCGGAATGCAGAGTTTTGTCCTCTGTGCCTCAGTGGCATGACGTTATGTTGGAATTTCGCCGCGCAGTGGGCCTACAGCAGCCAGACAACCAGTTGCACACCCTTGGGGTTATGGACTTTTGGTAGAAGTGAATTTCCTTACCGATCTGAACACTTCTGCTTCTTTTTACATGTACATTTCACATTCACATTTCTCTCGCATGTTTGTCACTATTGTAATAATGCATGGTTATTACTCTTGGTTGGCATGTTAAAGTTGCTCTCTCCGAAATGCTTGTTTGAATTTGTTTACTTCAAGTGTTTCCTTTACATTGTATGCAATTCTCAAAGTATACCTTTGGTGTGAACATGGCCTCCCCTGACTGTGTGTAGGCTTTGGAGTTGTTCCGGTTGGCCCTGATTATGCAGGCCTTGTTCTAGTTTCTATTTTGAGTGAAAGTCGACAGAACAAGTATTCCGTTTCATCAAGCTCTTGCTAGGAATAAGAACATGTGCATCACCAAACCTGCTATTTTTGTGCGGTCGAAACGCTCATTCGTCCGCAATGAGTTACAATTGCCTGGTCAATTGTCCAGTCTCTTGCCTCTTTGAGCTGAATGGGAGCCTTGACCCTTGAGGGGTGGGGTATTCCAATAGATGTGGAAAACTCGGCCTCTAGCCGAGTCGCACGCAAACTGTACATGTTTTCCTCTTATACTAGTAAAATAAATAATTTGATAACCGCAATCAGTAATACAAGCTGGATCGACATTTGTGTACACTTTATTCATGCAATGTAAAACTGTGGAGACAATGTGCAATAAAACGATGAACATGACTGTGAAGAAATTGTGTAGAGAAAAAAAATGGAAAGGGATTCAAACAAGTTTTCGTACAACACTCATCAGGAATCTTCGTTGTACTAAAGGACACTGAAAACTAAATTGAACTTATAATAGAAAATCTAAGTTAGAGAAATAACACTAAGAACAACACCAGTGAAATTTACAACAACAACAAAGACCGAAGCGAGGGCGACCTAGAAAACAACTGTTACCTACACAACTTGCGGATCCTGGCTCACAGACTGTGCTTGCTCCGCCGTCGCTGGTGGCTGTGGTGGAGGAGGGTGGTCGTGGTGGCTCATCGGGCCGGCTTGTGTCGCCGCCTTTGCTACTGCCGTCGGTGGTTCCTTCGTCGGTGCACCCGGCGGCTTTGGCTGGGGAGGTGCCGCTTGCCGTCCCGGTCCCACTGCCTCCTCCTGATCCTCCGCCGTCGGCTCTTGCTGCGGTGGAGCTTGCCAGTGACAGACCGCGAGCAACACCGGCAGTGGCGTTACCACTACAATTGCCAGCCCCAAAAATCCCACCTTGCGTATCAGCAGCTCCCACACCATCACCAACAATGCAATCTACAGCAACCACAACTAATCCACCCTCCAAGCCCACTATTGAAAGACCAAGACGATCAACAGCCAACTACAACAAAAGCTACGCACTCAATGGACAAGGGCGTAAGGAGGGACGTGACAGCAGGGTGACGGCCGAGTCCCGTTCAATGGACCAAGTCAGGCGGGATAACAGAGAGAGCGCAGAGGAAGCGGATGATGGGACGGACGGTGAAGGGAACAGAGAGTCGGAGAGCAACTATTGTAGTGATGGTGAGAGTGCCGGTGAGAATGTTAGTGTTGTGCGTAGGTTTCGTGGTAGCAAGTCTTCAGTGTACAATCATCTGTTGGCTAGTCCTGATTGTTACAATTCGTATTCCGACTCTTCTTTCACTGTATTGTACCGTGGTCGTCATGGTTATGGACTACAGTTAAAAGTTTTGGAAGCCACCTGTCAGCGTCTGTATAAGTCTTATTTGTGTGTACAGAAAGATAGTATAATTGGGTAGAAATTGTTCAAGTAATGTGTCATGTTTGGTGCGGTCAAGCTTGGCCGTTAATGTTCTAGGTGTAATGTACTGCTATTATTTGTTATCATTTTGTCCTTCCTTCTTTCTTTCTCTTCTTTGTTCATATTTCAGCTGCAAGTTTAGTGTTGGTACACACATTCGTTATTGCTCTCGCTTCCATTGCTAAAATTCACTTTTGTAAATTTCACTGCTGTTCTTCTTAGTGTTATTTCTCTAACTTAGATTTTCTATAAAAATTCAATTTTGTTTTCAGTGTCCTTTAGTACAACGAAGATTCCTGATGAGTGTTGTACGAAAACTTGTTTGAATCCCTTTCCTTTTTTTCTCTCCACAATTTCTTCACATTTTCATCGTTTTATTGCACATTGTCTCCACAGTTTTACATTACATGAATAAAGTGTACACAAATGTCGATCCAGGCTTGTATTGCTGATTGCGGTTATCAAATTGTAGTCTCCTCGCCGTTTGTTCAAAATAAATAATAATAAATTGTTTTCCCTCTGTCCACTTGTCTGTCCTTCTTGTGTCTGGCTAATCTCTGGCTGTTCTCCCTCTTTCTTGTGATATGCGATCCAGTTGTGTGCACACACCCCTGGGTGAAAAAGAACAAAGTATGCGAATGTAAACCCAGACTAAATGGACCTAACTGCACAGAAGGTAAGGGCTGAAGAAAGCTGCTGTAATATATTATGTGCCAGCGTGTCAAAGAATGTATGACCCATGGGAATATACATGCCGTTATATTGTATTTGAAGCCAAAGATACACTTCCGAGTTTGTATGCCGGATTGCCCAACGTACTGTGACCTTAAAAGTGGGTGGAATTTTGTCCTATCCACGTGCAATAAATGATACAGTCATATGGGCATCAGTTGGATATACGTGGGAGTGTTGTAATCTGGCTGTTCATGTAGCTATGTACTGGTGGGTACAGTGTCATGATGAGCAAGATACATGTAACAAACTCGAGAATCCGATATGCTATGTTGTTCTGCCACTATTCGTTTGCTTTTGGAAAATATGTGCATCCAATCACTGCTGCAGCATGCAATTGCCTGAATAATGGTCATTGTACTGAAGACGGCACCTGCGTCTGTCCGACCGGATTCCGGGGAGACCAATGTCAGGACAGTAAGTGTCTCTGTTTGGTTTTGTTTAGCTATATTTTTCTTCACCAGAAGTACAGGCAAAACCTGCCTTCTCACTGGGCGTGTTGCCACAGTTCTCGCAAAATGATGAAGATAGTGATAATGATAAGAAAAAGAGAAAGAGGAAAATGCCATCATGAACAAAGCCCAAAGAGAAGACGGAAACAAATCAATGAGGGTATCTGCAATGTGAAGTGAGTATGTAACACCACACCTGCACACATTCACTAAAAAACACACACACACACATACACACACGCACACACACACACGCACACACACACACACACACACACACACACACACACACACACAAATACACACCGGCACATGCACAATTACTCTACCCGAGCAGAGCAGTAGTGCTGGACTACAAGTATTGCTTTTCAGCAAACTCACAGTCAAAGCCGTTTTCTATTTTTTAAGAAGAACAATGGCTTTGCCACCTCTCTGTAGATGCTTGGAGCAAAAGGTTCCTTCCTAAGGGCATGCAGACTCCATTGTAGGAACTTCATATTCCACACAGTTAGTATCATAAAGTAATGCTAAAATGATGTGACGTTATTGGACTCATTTACCCACTGTTTACAGAAAAATGGGATTAATTGATTCCAGTGCGTTTGTCTCCCCAGCATTTGATCATAGTGGTCCAGAATTCCAGAAAGAGAATTGATATGCACTCTCCGTAGTGTCGTGTATTACCGCCGAGCGTATTCCTGTGGAAGCCGATTTCAGGGCTAGGCTTCTATTCAGTATTCACATCAAGCTTCTATTCAAACCAGGTATTTATATGTGCGTCAACACTAAACCAGGCTTGTGTGCCAACAGTGTATTCTGAAAATCAGACCTCTATTCAAAACAGGCTTCTATATGATAACCGCTATCAATAAAATTAACTGAACCGACATTTTTGTATTTTATTCATGCAATGTAAAAAAAAACGGTGGAGACGATGTGCAATAAAATGATGAAAATATGAAGAAATGGTGTGGAGAAAAAAATGGATTCAAACAAGTTTTCGTACAACACTCATCAGGATTCGTCGTTGTACTAAAGGACATTGAAACAAAATTGAACTCTTATAGAAAATCTAGGTTAGAGAAATAACACTAAGAACAACAGCAATGAAATTTACAAGTGTGAATTTTAACAATCAAAGCGAGAAATTAACAAAGAAGAGAAAGAAAGAAGGAAGGACAAAGTGATAACACATACAAGCAGAACATTTCACCAAGAGTTCATGAAAACAAGAGTGTGCAGCTCGGATGGGTGGCTGTCACTGCAGAATTCCGTGATTACATCATTTTAGTGATGTAGCAGGATTCAAGCAGGTCTCTTTCTGCACAACTGCAGCTCAGTTGTACGCACTACGCCATTTCCCGCCTCAGATCTGGGCCAAATATGATGTAATCACGGAATTTCGCCGTGACAGACACCCATAGCAGAAAAGGCCCCAAGCTGCACACTCTGGTTTTCATGTACTCTTGATTTCACCTAGAACATTAACGGCCAACCTTGGCTGAACCAAACACGACACGTTACTTGAACAATTTCAACCCAATTATACTATCTTTCTGTACACACAAATTTGGCTTATACAGACGCTGATAGATAGCTTCCAACACTTGTAAATTGTTTCAGTGAATAAAATACACAAATTTCGTTTCAGCTAATTTTTTTTATTGCGGTTATCAAATTATTGTCTCCCCGCCGTTTGCTTCTATATGAGAAATAAAAATACAAAAAATAAATACAATAAATACAAGACACTACGGTATATCATAATTAGTACAAGCCTTCATCCTGTTGGTAAAAGCGCATAAATTAATGAGAATGTCTGGGTGTGACTTTCACAGGCCCAAAATATAGAGAAGGATCCGTTACCCACTAGCAAAATAATGGGATTAACAGCTTGTCCTTAAAGTGCTTCAACCTTGAAAATTTGAGCACAAGTCGGACAGAAAGGGTTTTTTGGCCACCGTAATATTTTTCTCCTGTACATGAGTATGTTGTACATGTCTGTGTACTGTGCTGTGTTCAGATTTCAGGACAAAGTGCCTGGGTACGGACAAGGTGATGTACACCTGGACGGCTCTCGCCGGCTTGCCGTGTTTTTCAGGCAGCTGCCCGAAGATAACCAGTTGGACGAAAGCCAGAGACGCATGCAGTGATAGGGGATATCAGCTGGTCGACTTTAAAACCTTCACCTTGCTCGGCTCAAAGCTTGGTGTGCGTGGCTGCGTAAAGTCATTGCTCCACGAGATGATGGTGAACAGTAACAGCAGCCCGATCACGATATGGACATCATCCGAGTACAATCGTCGGCATATTATTTACAAGCAGGACAAGAACAAATCGGGTGGTGCAATATTTAGTGTTCATGGGTTCGGCCTTCACAATGTCATCTGCGAAGGTAAACAATTGCTTGTTTTAAAGCGATATCATTGGACGGGCAAATGGTGAGAATGCTGAGTAGCACACAGTGCATGCATGGACAGGATAGTATGTCCAATGATAATGACGGGACAGGAAAGTATGAAACAAAGAGACAACAAGAGTGCAGCCACCTGGGTTTCTCACATCAATGTCACACCTACCGTTATAGCCAGGGTCAGACCCACACATGCATAACCAATTGATTTCACCTGCGAAGAAGCATTTCATGCGTATGCTTGTGTCATAACCCGGTGTTATACTACTCCCTTGGTAGAACCGCTGAATGGTTTGCAAATGTGACACGGTGCTGCTCTATGAAGTCTGGCGAGCCCCAGACCTGTGAACATTGAACTACTCACTAGCTCTGGGCACTTCCGTATCCAAGAGATCGGGTGTCATCAAGCACGATATTAAATTCACAATAGCGAGAATTTCAGTTGTCTGAGGATTGCTTTGGGGGGCGTTCGTTTTTGATCTACAGGTTTGGGTAGAAACTACTTCTTTCGGTAGAGTTTTTCGTTTTTGGAAAAGAAATTCGACTCAAAAGGGTAAATTCTACTTTCTTCTACCGGCTCTACCGGGAAGAAGTTAGTTGAATCCGGTAGAAGTCGGTAGAGCTATGGGATTTCCAGCAAGCTCAAGGATTCGTACACAACTCCATACAAAAAAGAAACATTTCACGTACACATCGTGTAAACTACTAAATCCGGTAGAACAGCGTTCGTACACTTGCCTCTACCATCTACCTCTATGGCCACATACGATTTAGGAGTCTTGAAGAAAAAAAGAAAAAAACTGTGCTGCACTGACTGTGCATGTGGGGACCAGCACACTTATGCACATGTACACAATGTGGCGTGGCCTGTGCGACACATGATGCCAGGTCGGCATTTGTTGTGCGCAGTCTAGCTGCACATGCACAGATTGTGATAGAAGCGCCTACCACATACTAGTTGCTAACTATGGATGCTGTTTTGCATGGTGTATTGGTGGATTTTAGTGTGAACAAAGGTCTAATAAACTTTTTTTATTCTTCGGTCATTTTGTATTTTTCCACCTCTCGCATACATTTTTAGATTTTCAGGTGACGAGGAACATAGAAATAAAAACGTGTGGCCTATCGGTAGAGTGACTCTACTCTACTAGGTAGCTAAAAATGAACACAGCTTTGGCCTTGCTATTTGCACGAAACGCAGCGTTAAAGCAATAATGATGCCGCTTGTCTTAGTTCTCTTCCGCCTATTTTTGTTTCTACCTGCAACTGTATATGCCCTTTGTTTTGCAGCCCAATGGCTCCATGCCAACGATTCTGTATACGCCGCAGCAACTCCTGCACTCGGACCCAGCGTGACTGAGCAGTGCGCAGAGAACGCATGTCAGCAGTACGGACTTCGCCTCATAACCAAAGATTGGTTACAAGAACATGGCCATGTGTTAAGAGAACGCTGGCTAGAGAGATTGGCTTTAGATAAGTCCGACGGATTAGGTTACCACGTCGCGCCAATCCTGGTCAATGGTCAGTCCCTTTACAGAACAGTAAAATTTAGCAGACAACATGTGACGTTTAAGAACAAAACAAGCCATGAGGATGCCAAGATTCTCTGTGTCAGTAAGTGAGAGAATAATAAGTGACTGTCTTCTGCAATGGCTGTCCATGCACAAGCTGTGTGTTTGTCCCTGTTTGTGCCGCTAACGTGATGAAGATAGTTGTGCGTTTGTGTAAATGTGTCCCGTCGCTACGTGCACTGTATGAACAGGGCTTGTCCCAACGATGTGCCCACTTGCAATGTGCAAACATGTCGTCTCCCAGCATTTCTTGCACCCACGGTGAATCACAACATTGAGAACACTCCCAGAACTGAGATTCAGGCTGTGTTTCTTCTGTGTCTTCCCAGGGTAATTTCGAAGTCATTACAACATGTTTTGATTCTAAGGTTTTGTTTGGCGCAATATCAGTTTGTGGCAGAGACGGGGGAGAATTTGCTCCCTGGATTCCAATTGCGAGGAATCAAAATGCATGACAAGCTGAAGTTCGACATGCCACCAGGGTTGAGATAATTTACAGACAACTTTTTGTTGTTGTCAAGAAACAGGGGGAATTCCCATGACTGTCACCACGTGAGGAGGTGAAAGTTTACTACTTGACGTAAAATCCCTGGCCAGGGCTGTAACCCTACTATTTGCCGACGGAGCTGAGAACTTTCCTATGCAAATAGACTTTTCGACTGCTCAATTCCTTTCAGGGAAAGGCGAGTTCCGAACATTTGAGCATTTGCAGTATGCACTGCACAGTAATACGGATGTATCTATCGTACAGCAAGAGCTCAGAAACCGTGTTGGAAGTGTTATGGTGTCATGCATCCCGTTCTATGGTACCGTGCCTTGCTGTCATGCTTCCATTCTATGGTACCGTGCCTTGCTGTCATGCATCCCGGTCTACGGTACCGTGCCTTGCTGTCATGCATCCTGGTCTATGGTACCGTGCCTTGCTGTCATGCATCCCGTTCTATGGTGCTGTGCCTTGCTGTCATGCATCCCGTTCTATGGTACCGTGCCTTGCTGTCATGCGTCCCGTTCTATGGTACCGTGCCTTGCTGTCATGCTTCCGTTCTATGATACCGTGCCTTGCTGTCATGCATCCCGGTCTATGGTACTGTGCCTTGCTGCCATGCATCCCGGTCTATGGTACCGTGCCTTGCTGTCATGCATCCCGGTCTATGGTACCGTGCCTTGCTGTCATGCATCCCGTTCTATGGTACCGTGCCTTGCTGTCATGCATCCCGGTCTATGGTACCGTGGGTGTAAAAGCCCAAGAACAACTCATCTTGTTCCTTCAATTCTGCGTGACAGGTTTTTTTAGATAAGCTATTATCCCCATTCTAGTGTTAAAGCAGGGCTGCCACTTGCTCCGATTTTTTTTGGAAATCGTCCGATTTTTGATCCGCGGTCGGAAAAACCGACCGATTTTTGTTTTGAGCACTTTTTAGTCCAGTTGGCCATTCGGCGCTTCCAGGTCGCGTTTGTCCAGTCATTGTACATGTACATGTACATGTAGCTGTAAAATGCAAATGTGTTGACCGTTAAAAATGTGTTCTGGGACCCCAACAGCAAGCCATTTTCCTAAATATTTTCACCCGGGGGACCCCCCAGACCCCCGTCAGATTTTTCTCCCTCCAAGTGTGGCAGCCCTGTTATAGACTGCATAAGAGTAATCCGATATTGACTTTTATTGTCTTTTTCTGCACAGAGTCCTGTGGGAGCGGTGTTCTTGCACCAAGCATGAGTTGTGTATGTAACCGCACCCTGTCCTACGGTGAAGAATGTGAAAAGGGTAAGACAGCAAGCCATTAGGTTTGTGTGCATGCGTGTGTGTATATGTGTGTATGTGTCTGTATGTGCGCATATGCATATCTGAATGTGCGTGTATGTGCGTGCTTGTGTGTGTATGTGTGTGTAGGTGCGTGTATGTGTGGGTAAGCGATTACAGGGGGCAAAGCCACCTGTCCGGTTGGTCCTTGTTTCACCGGACCACTCTTCGGGCCGAAGTTTCCTTTTCTCTTTCTAGAGAGCTGATGGGAGTTCAGCGATCGATTGGGCGCAGTACCATGAGCATTATGTACACAGCACCGTCTAGGGAGACCTGCATGTACTGTGCCTTATATGTAGGGCTCTCAGGGACAGACTGGCGGCACAGGGTTTTTTTTTGCTTCATGTTGATCGAGAGTCGGAGATGGCTGCGAAAACCTTGAAGGCATCTGTTCCTGAGATTTCTTATATTCCCATAGCCAGCAATGTTTTTAGTTTCCAAAACAATTGTGCGAGGAAACGAAGCCTGTAATGTGCGCTTCTAAGCCCTAACGGTTCACAATCTTGGCTTTCCTAGATTATGATAAGGGTGCAGGTTCAGTGCTTTGCCACACGACTGTCTATTCTTCCGGCCACAAACTCCACATTAGAGAGGTTATTCCGTGCATTTCGCCACCTGAAGACGTCACAAGGCCGTCTCCATCATCTGATGGTTTTGCAGTATCATCAAGACGGACGAGAAAAAATTACTTTCTCCAAGTTTAGGTCATACCATCTTAACTGCAAGTTTTAAAAGGTAAAATGTCCAACAGAAACCAGTCCAAAAGTGGTCGCTACCGCCCTGCATTAGGTTTTTGTTGTTTTTATCAGAACACACACCTTCCAGAGGAAGGGATGAACACTAACAAGAAGCCGTCCCTACACCCCCTGTGTCTTGTTTGTGTTCTTGAGCTTCGAAATGTGATTGGCTACTTATACTAATGTTCCAGAAGGTTCTAGAATTTCGTCGGCAACCGGTTTTCGTAGATTGCTTATTGGTTAGGGACTTAGAACATGGCTGCAGGTTGCCGAACTTTTGTTCCCTTCCTTTCTTCTTTATTGTTGCTTCTTTACTCTCTTTGCGTTCCAAGTGTGTATAGAATATTTCTTCTGTGACGATTATTTGTAAAACTAGAAAGTGAGTGCTTTGACTTGAGTTTGTGCGTGATTGCCTCCGGGGGCCACTTACTACACAGTGACCTCCTGTGCATTATTTCTGCGTCACTCACTCCATGCATGTGCTTTTTTCCCTGCCTGTTGCAGCATGCAAGTGCTTGAACCAAGGTGAGTGTGATAACAAAGGTGAATGCTGCTGCCCTAGGGGATTCACCGGCCACCATTGCCAACTCGGTAAGTAGAAGTGAATTCGTTTTACTCATTTCATATGGCTGGCGTGGGATTTTCAGAGCGTAAATCCATGTAAAAGTGGGCTCCCCTTTACCTTACGTGTATGAGTAGGCTTCGCGGTAGTTTTAACAGGGGTGACAGAGAACTAGGACATGTATACTGGTCTTTTTGAGTGCTCGCTTGAAATAGGAGTGTTGGGGTAACACGAATATTCTAAATCGTACCGAATATTCTGTAAACGAATTGAATAAGTATCGCCGAAGTAGCACCAACCTCTTCTTCAAATTGGATACCGGATATTCTATAGTTTGTTTGTTCTCACATCACTAAAGAATATGTAGACAGTTCTGTCTGGTTCAGCCTTGTGAGCCATAGTCCCCTTTCCCAGCATGCCAACCACCGCATTCTACTGCCATGTACTTGAGGTTACTCAAAATTTCAGAAATTTTCGGTGCTCAATATTTTCGGTATGAGGGCAACAGGCTAGGTTAGGTGGACAGAAAGTTTCGGTACAGAGCAGCAGTTCCCTATTGGATTATGTGTGTTAGTGTTTGTTTGGTGTCTTGAAATTTTACGTATGAAACAGACGCACCGAAAGTACCGAAAATAAAAGTACACAGAAAATTTGTGAAATTACAGCACCCTAATAGAGAGGTTCGACACTACGTAAAGCTGAGCAACTTTACGTTAGTGGTACATATTTAGGACTCTCTAGCCAGGTCGACCCGGTCATACACTGCCGTGTTCCAAGCTGCCAAGGGCAGGTACGTGATTCGAAAACTCCATAAGGCGAAACACAGGTCCTCATGCAGTGGGACTCTCCATTCATCGACTAATTATGTTGTGCGGAACCTCTCTAATTTTGTAAGCTATATCCTCACACGGACCTAGTCAATGACTGCAATATTAGGCTGCGTTTACATGAAAATGCACGGCCAGTTTTCCATTTTCGGTCCCGCATTTCTTCTTTCGTTTTGGTGCGTTTACATGATCAAAGCTGATCCGAGGTGGTCTCCGTTTGTATCGTTTTCGCGCTTCTACACGGGAGCAAAGGATCCGCAAACGTTCGTCATGTGCCAAGTGTTGTCGTGGAAGCACCAATCACACTCCAGGAATAGGCCACAAAACAACACTCGTCACATGACGAAAATTGTAAAAACAATTTTTTGGATTGCCGGATCCGTGTAAACGGCCGAAAACGAAACAAACGTGACGGAAAACGAGGCCAGCATACCGTTTCGACTGTTTACACACTCAAATTTATCCTGCAGAACATTTCCGTTTTCAAATTCTTCCACCTTGGCCAGCGTTTTGGTTTTCTTCCATTTTTGGTCTACAACTTTTACGTTTTGCTCTTCGTACCGTGTAAATGAACCATGCATCCGAAAGGATTTTGTTGCGTTTTCACCCCCAGCTTTGTCGTGTAAACGCAGCCTTACTTGCACATGCAAAATGTCCAAAACCAAAACACAATGTATTCCGATCTGAACCGAATGCTTCGAATTGTTATCCAAAGGAACAATTCCAGAATATTCAGAATTCGTTTCACTCCTAAATGACACAACCAAAAAGCACGAACAGTTCACAGTTCAGGAGAAGCACAAATTACTATTTTGGAGTGTGGCCGGAGAACTGCCGTCTGCAAGTGCTCTGGTTTGGTCTGGTTTGGCCTATTATATGGTTTGGCCTATTACCACCCTCTGTCTTAAGTTGGTCATGTCACGTTGTGCTTCTGTCGTCATTTTGTTTGTTAGCAAAGTTTCAATTGTCTGAGTGTGCCGCAGAGCAGTGATGGTAATTTCTACTGATAGCACTGATTTGTAAACTGCTGCTTGTCATTCCTGCTTTAAGAGTGCTTACCTTCCAGCAGCAATTCTATCTTTTGGAAGAAGGCCATTATGATCGAAACCCAGATTTATCCAAGTTTCCCTGGCCCAGCCAGGCCAGTATGATCGAAACCCAGATTTATCCAAGTTTCCCTGGCCCAGCCAGGCCATTATGATCGAAACCCAGATTTATCCAAGTTTCCCTGGCCCAGCCAGGCCAGTATGATCGAAACCCAGATTTATCCAAGTTTCCCTGGCCCAGCCAGGCCATTATGATCGAAACCCAGATTTATCCAAGTTTCCCTGGCCCAGCCAGGCCATTATGATCGAAACCCAGATTTATCCAAGTTTCCCTGGCCCAGCCAGGCCAGTATGATCGAAACCCAGATTTATCCAAGGTTCCCTTGTCCAGCCTCTTTTACTTTATACATATTATGATTGTCTTTAGTCTGCCTGACTCCGTTTCCGGCTGATTCACTCTCTCGTCTTCTTCCTCTTCGGTCTGTGCTATGTGATGGATGCAGTTGTGTGCGAGGAACCCTGGGTGAAAAAGAGCAAAGTGTGTGAATGTCAACCGGGACTAGATAGACCCAACTGCACAGAAGGTAAGGGCTAAAGAAAGCTACTGTAATATGCCTGCGTGTCAAATAATGTATGATCCATGGGTTCATGCACGCTGGAATGTTGTATTCGGAGTCGAGAAGAAGAAAAAAACTTCTATGTCGTCATGCCAGTTCCTCCAACCAATTCTACCTCTTTATTCTATTCATGTGGAATAAATAATGCATATATATATGGGGAGTTGGTCACTCTCATGAGTTGAGCTATTTTGTTGTCAAGAGTTAATTTAACGTCAAAATGTTATCATGTTCAAGGACATGTCAAGAACCCGCTTTTCTGTTCCTCTCTTTGTGCTTTTTTTGAAAATGCGTGAATATTCCCAATCACTGCTGCAGCATGTAATTGCTTGAATGACGGTCAGTGCACTGACGATGGCAGTTGCAACTGCCGGAACGGTTTCCATGGAGACAAGTGTCAGCATAGTGAGTATTATGATGTATGAAGTGAATTCCAGTTTGCTGGCATATTTCTGTGAAATGTGGGAATACCTGTACACATTAAAGAGACGTTGGTTTTTTTATCTACAGGTTTGGGTAGAAACTATTTCTTTCGGTAGAGGCGTTCGTTTCTTCTTCTCAAAAGGGTGGGTTCTACTTTCCTCTGCCGGCTCTACAAGGAAAAAGTTGGTTGAAGCCGGTAGAAGTTGGTAGAGCTACGTTTGCTGTGCATATTTCTGTGAAATGTGGGAATACCTGTACACATTAACGGGGCGTTCGTTTATTGATCAACAAGTTTGGGTAGAAACTATTTCTTTCGGTAGAGGCGTTCGTTTCTTCTAGTCAAAACTTCAAGTCAAAAGTGTGGATTCTACTTTCCTCTACCGGCTCTACCAGGAAAAAGTTGGTGGAAACCGGTAGAAGTTAGTAGTGCTACGGGATTTCCGACAAGATCAAGGATTTGTACACCTCCATACGGAATAGAAACATTTCACGTACATATCGTGTAAACTAATAAATCCGGTAGAAAAGCGTTCGTCCACTTACCTCTACCTTCTTCCTCTATCGGTAGAGTGACTGTACTTTACCAGGTAGCTAAAATTGAACGCAGTTTATAGCTGAGAGCTATTAGAATGGATATGCTAAGGTCTGATCCTTCCAACAAGGCCGAGATGATGAAAGTCTATCAAGGTGAAATGAGAGGGCAAAATGTAATGTTTCGTCCTGAACTGTGGGTCAAACGATACCCGGAGAGAAAGTGCACTGGCAAGTCAGTTTGCTGGAGGAAATGGAGCTAAATGGGCGAGTGGTATTTGCATAGGTATATAATTTTCAATTGAACTATGCTACCGCTGCTCAGGAAGTGTACATCTTGTTTATGTGTGATTTCTACTTCACCTGACTGTGCCTTGCATGTGTACTGTGTTATGTTCAGCTTTCAAGACAAAGTGCCTGGGTACAGATAACGCAACGTACACCTGGATGGCTCTCGCCAGCTTGCCGTGTCATCCACACCTCGACGGTGACAGCTGCCAGAAGAAAACGAACTTGACGCATGCTCGCCAGATGTGCACAAGAAGAGGATACAACGTGGTAGACCATGATTCCTTCACCAATCAGACGCTTGGCGTGCGCGACTGCATGGAAGCATTGCTCAACGAGATGGTGACGAGCTCTTACAGCAACCCTACTTCAATATGGACATCGTTCGTGAAGGATGACCAACATCTCATATACCAGCAGGGCAAGAACAGTTTGACTAAAGAATTGTATGATAGTGATGGAACAAGCCGTCATGATGTCATCTGCGAAGGTAGGCTGTTGGATTGTGATCAAATGAACCCGTGAGAGAGATGCTCAGTAGCCAGCAACCATGGGGTAGAAAGTAATACTATGCATGGTTAGCATTTTACCATTCACGCGATTTGCGACGGTCGTCCTGTACCCGTTTGTTGTGTGTGTAGACATGGTTAGCATTTAACCGTTCGCTCTAAATCCAACCGTACTCGTACCCAACACCCAAAATACCATTGGTTTGGTACCGTTTCGACGATAAAAAGCTCTGTTTAGCGGAAGAACGAAACGGTAGGATTCCAACTAGGGTACGTCACAAGTCGATCGTTGTGTCAGAAACCGAAATGCTAACCAGTGTCTTGAAATCACACACAAAATGGTACAGGCCGACGTACGGTCGAAGTGAATGTGAATGGTAAAATGCTAACCATGTCTTTTGACAGGGCTAGAGGACTGACACAGAGAGGCGATGCCAAGAGTGATTACAACCTTCATTTAGGTTTCCCACTCCAATGGGAAAACCTACCCATCTAGCCGGAGTCGGACCCAGACGCGAGTTACCAATTCACCCCATCTGCTAAGAAACAGTTCATGTCTATGCTTGTGTCATAACCCGGCATAACGGTGACAACTGGGACGTTCATGAATTATTCTTTGCATATTTTGTTCCATTTGTTCGTTAGAAAAATATCATGTTGTCGTATGCATCTACGCCGGAACATACCATCAGCCAGTCCGGACATGTGAACTATGTATTGAAAGTTTTCGTTCCCTTCTTCTCAAAACACTACAGGATAAGAAGGAAATAAACTAAGGGCATGTTTGATTGGTGAATCCGGATTCAGATTAGAGTCACTGGAGCAGTCAGAACACCAGTTACCAATCAAACAGAACGGCGACTATTTTTGCCTGAAATATTGTAGAACTCACGATAGCTCACCATGCCGCGAACTTCAAAATTTACACAGACTTCAAAGATGTTTACATTGCTCAACATGCGAAGGCAAAACAAACTTGAAAGGCAACTACAACCGGAGAAGAAGCTTCGAAGACAGCCAAAAAACAAATCATGGATGTGGGGACCGCCGTGTAATGTGCAAAATCACACTTAGACCTCCATGTACATCACCACGCCCTTTCGTAATCACTGGCATGCCAAAATCTATTCGAATGAAAACAAAAAACGAAACTCATTGCGTAGTCATGTCAGGTTCTCATTGGGCTTTGCAACAAGCTCTGGCTGCTCCAGCCTCTGGGGTCGGAGTGGTCAGAACATGTTCTGAACACTCCAAACCTAGAGCAGACCAGTGCAGACCAATCAAACGCCCCTGTTCAAAACGCCCCTGTTCTGGATCCGACCAATCAAACACGCCCCAAGAGACTACAACTATAAAGATACAAAGTTAATTTGTTCATCACATTATTATGTCGGCATCGTACGTTTTATTCATAGCTTGGTTAAAACTTCTTTCTCCGGGACTGCTTTAAGTGCAGTTGCGCTCGGTGAAAATAGACCCAAAGTGCAAAGCTGGCTGCCCTGGATCAGTTCTGATTACATCATTGTATTGTACATGCGTACGCGGCCACATTTGTCCCAATTCCACGGCGTCAATGGCCGCGCAAGTTGAAGGCACTAAATCTGCACACTGGGCCGGGTCTCACCGAGAGCAACTGTACTGGGTAGAACCACTGGGGTGGTTTGCAACAGTGGCGTACTGCTGGTCACTGAGGTCTGCCCAGCCACATGCAGCTTTAGGTATAGCCAGCATGCTGCTCATCGAGATGTTTGAGTAGCGGCAACCTTCATTCTTTGTATGCATAGAACATTTTTTTCACTTTAACCTCTCGCCCCGGTTTTTGACATCGTTCTCCTTGTGTGTGTGTGTTTGTGTGTGTGTGTGTGTGTGTGTGTGTGTGTGTGTGTGTAAGTGTGTGTGTGTGTGTGCCCGGCAAATACTCAGGGTAGGGCTGAAACGATCACTGCAAAGCGGGTATCGATTACCTTCTTTTTTTAGTTCATTGCTCTGACACTGCCATCAGACAAGGTTTCATTGAGTACGACTATAGAGCCCAGGGCAGCCGTTATTCGAGTATATTTCATTACTAATGTACCTATTATCTGCCCACTACTGTATGTGCCCTTGTCCTGCAGCGAAGTGGCTCCATTACAACGACTCGGTATACGCCGCAGCCACGCCATCACTGAAACCCAACGTGACTGAGCAGTTTGCAGAGGAGGCATGTCAGGAGTACGGACTTCACCTCATAACCTATGACTGGCTGCAAGCACATGGCCATGTATTAAGAGAGCGCTGGCTAGATAGATTGGCTCTTCGGCACGCACCTTACCACGTCAAACCAATCCGAGTGAATGGCAACTCCCATTACATAACTGTAACGTTTAGAAATCGCAGTAATCCATTTCAAAATTCCACAATTAATCGCCAGGCCAAAATCCTCTGTGTCAGTAAGTGATGATTATATTTTAGAGTGGTTTTATCAATGGCTGTCCCTGTGGAAGCAATATTTTATTCATCTGTGTCTGCAACCAACATAACGAAATAGCATATCATGTTGGTTGCGGACACAGAGGAATAAAACATTGCTTCATTTGCCCCTTTAATTTGCCTTATAAATGAAAGACCTCATACCAACAAATGTTTCAGGAAGATTCCCAACCAATATCACTGTTGCAGAGCGATTTCTTGGGTACTACCGGCCGGTGAGAAGGCATGCAATCTGTCGTTATGAAAATGCCTTGAGTGTCAACAGGTTTCGTCCAAACATATCTGTGCCATCATGACTTATACAAACATGCATTGTGGCAATGCAGATTGGGACAACAGTAATTGTGCCAGTATATCATATGCCAACATCTGCTATGCCAATGTCTGCTGTGCCGAAATATAACTATGATGTAACACCCACAGCACCACCTACCTTCTCGACCCAGTCACTCAGTGTGGGATTTCTGAATGTGTGTAGTGTTCGGCGGAAGGTAGCAGAAGTTCAAACGTTCATCTCAACACGAGGCATTCACGTTCTCGTGATAGCCAAGACATGGTTGACCCCGGATGTGTCCGATCAGGAGTTGTCCATCCCGCACTTCGAGCTATACAGAAGAGAAAGACCTGATCAGCGAGGTGGCGGAGTTGCTGTGTATTGTCATGAGTCACTGGCTTTTCGACAACAGGCCGATTTACAGTGCGAGCTAGAGATGCTGTGGCTGGAGATTCTAGCCCCTGGTCGACATGGAACGCTCCTCGGCTGCTGTTATCGGCCGCCAAATAGTTCTGCTGCCTACTGGACCACACTGGATCAGAACGTTGAGCAAGCTGTTCAGGGATGTCAGCAGTCCACTGTGGCGACTTCAGTGTTGATTTTAGCAATCCAACTTCTCCATCTGCATCCCCTTTGTACAACATACTTTCCCACTTCAATCTCTGCAATTATGTTACATCTCCAACTCGAGTCACGGCAACATCATCCACAATGCTAGATTTGTTCCTCTCATCCTCTCCTTTGGATGGTACCTGTGCAGCAATACACTTAGACATAAGTGATCACTTTGCTGTGCTGGCCCGGTTGAGCATTCACACACACCACCACGTGTCATCGTCAGTAAAAACCACCAGACGTCTCCATCGAGTAAACTGGGACAGTTTCAGTATCGACCTCCAGAGGAAACAGCAGCAAGACTTTGATGCCCACAGCAATATCCATGATATGGTTCATTCTTTCACTTCTTCTATCATGTCCACACTAGACCAGTATGCACCATTGGTACCCCCAGCGTAAGCGCTCACGCCGCCCATGCCCCTGGCTGACTGATGAGCTTGTGGGTGCAGTTCGTAAACGTAATCATCCTGGAAGTTCGGCTTCCGAGCTGAGTCTTTTGCAGAGTTGTTGTTCTAATTATTCAAATGCAGTATTAATATCCTAAAAATATTTTATCAACAAGGGCATGTTTGATTGATGGGATCCGGTTCCCGATCCCGATCTTGGATCACTCGGATCCTCCCAGCTCCAATCGAACGATGGCTAGCACAGTTGGTCGTCGTAATGATGACGTACAAAATTGGCGATTGAAAGTTGCCAAGGTTGTCAAGGTACCGGTCAATTTTTGTAATAAATTTTGAAATTCAAATCTTAACGCGTGAGCTAGCAGGGTTCTGCGATCATGTTGTCGCCTCCATAATAGGACCATTTCAAGTCCATAAAAAGCCACTGTTCCACTTCCATTCCATTCCACGTGTAGCTTGTGAAGTTAGCTGTTGTTCTCCTTCCTCGTGAGGTCTTGTGCAGTTCCATTTTTCGGTAGCAAGCATCATGGACGAAGGAGATAATGAGATTTGCCGACTGAAAAACTTTGTCGTAGTTGGCATTGTAGCTGTGGTAGTTGCCAGAATCCTGCAAAGTGAGGAGATACCGTCTGATTTGTTTGATGAGATTTGTGTACTGTCCCACCAACCTGGCCTCAATGGAGTCCTTGGATTTCGAACACCTCGACGTGTATCAGTTCTGCGGCAGAGGGTCTACGTCGAAGTTGTTATGCCTCTGCAGTCTGATTCAGATTTTCGTGGACACTTCCGTTTGCACCGTGCAACAGTAGAAATTGTATGCACAAAGCTATCCCAGTCTGTCCACATAGCCGTGCAATGGAGGTCGGAAGCCTATACCCGTGCGCAAGCAACTTTTGGTTACTCTTTGGTGGCTTGGCAGTAAGAGCACCATCAGAGAGGTGGCAGACAAGTTTGGTCTATCCAAATCGACAGTATGGCACAGCGTACGGCGTGTGTGTTTTGCCTTGCAGGACATGGCTCCGTTATTGATATGTTGGCCCCAGGGGCAAGGTGCAGAGAGGACGCAAGCAGAATTTCATTCAGCTCAGCACATTCACGGCGTCATGGGGGCGATTGATGGTTGCCATATCCCGATTGCAGCACCAAATGAGGCACCTGAGACATACCTGAACAGGAAAAATTCCATTCCGTTATTCTACAAGCAGTCTGCGACAGGAACCTGCTATTTACGGATGCGTATTGTGGCTGGCCTGGCTCTGTGCATGATGCCAGAGTATTCGAAAACAGTCCCCTGAAGCAGTTGGTCACTGAAGATGCTCGTCGTTTCTTTTCTGGAGAAGCCTTTATCGTTGGAGATTCTGCGTACCCATTACAGCCGAAGCTGATGACTCCCTTCAGGGATGATGGTCACCGCACAGCAAGTCAGACCAATTATAACTTCAGGCACTCGTCAACACGGATGTGTATTGAAAGAGCTTTCGCATTGCTGAAAGGAAGATGGAGGCAACTCAAGTATCTAAATATTGTGAATGTTGAGAACGCCACCCATATCACCATTGCCGCCTGTGTGTTGCACAATATGGCCATCATGCACGAAGATGATGTCGGTGACTTTCTTCAAGACCTACCTGAAGGTGATGTACCTAATCCAACGTAGTATTTTCAACCAAACACCGGTGCTGCAGACAAGCGCAACCGAATTGTGGATCTCATTGCTTAACAGAGGAAGGCAGACTTTCACAATTATTGACTTTCTACTACTCACTTCGCATAATTCTGCTGTATTTGAGTAGGGTCCTCATTTCTTTCCACACTCTACCTTCCATGCAACTGTTCTCAAATCAAAGCATGTGTGAAAAGCTTTTGGGTGCCAGCTACTGACTGCAGAGAATGGCAAGGAATAGTGTCGTGCAAGTAGGCAGTAGTGTGTGATTGGTAGTCTTCCCTGCCACCCCATGCTTTAACGCAAACCGCGTCACACATACACGCAACCAGAAGATGATACTCGATAATGCATAGGTAGTACCTTCTCATTATAAGCAGTGAAATAAGCACAAACTCGAGTATCTTGAATGATACATCATTGAGAGAGGGATACATAAAAATTGTAGATGCAAAGTATCATTACCGATTCATTGGTGTGTGTGTGTGTGTGTGTGTGTGTGTGTGTGTGTGTGTGTGTGTATGTGTGTGTGTGTGTGTGTGTGTGTGTGTGTGTGTGTGTGTATGTGTGTGTGTGTGTGTATGTGTGTGTGTGTGTATGTGTGTGTGTGTGTGTATGTATGTGTGTATGTATGTGTGTGTGGGTGTGTGTATGTGTCTGTGTGTGTATGTGTGTGTGTGTGTATGTGTGTGTGTGTGTGTGTGTGTGTGTGTGTGTGTATGTGTGTGTGTGTGTGTGTGTGTGTGTGTGTGTGTGTGTGTATGTGTGTGTGTGTGTGTGTGTGTGTGTGTGTGTGTGTGTGTGTGTGTGTGTGTGTGTGTGTGTTGTGTGTGTGTGTGTGTGTGTGTGTGTGTGTGTGTGTGTGTGTGTGTGTGTGTGTGTGTGTGTGTGTGTGTGTGTGTGTGTGTGTGTGTGTATGTATGTGCAGGTAGCATTGGATGTTATGTAGAAACACATGCTGTATGCTTCACAAACTCACAATAGATACATACATAAATAGTACTTCGAAGTATGCCTCTACTGCTTTGCAAGCCTATTGACAACTGCAGTAAGGTCGCCAAGTATTGCCATCTGGTCGTTGTGCTTATGCTCTTGCCAGGTTCGATGTTCACATTTCGTCTGCTTGAGCCATTCCAGGGCGTCACTGGACTGCCCTCCAGACCACTTTATCCTCTTCTTTACGCCCTTCTCCTCATCATTAGCGGCAGGGGTTGCCACGGCTGCTGATGCACCTGCTGGAGCATTGAGACGGACTGGAGTATATTGCGGTGTGGTCGGAGCGGATGATACTCTTGCTTCACCATCCTGATCGTCATCCGAATCCGACAATTCAACTGGACGCTTTGGGGGTCTAGTGACAGGAACCAGCATTTTGGGTGGATGTTGGGCTTCCAACCAAACGTAGAATTCATTTCATCATAGAAAGCAGGCGGCTGTTTACGGTCAGCCCCAGTTTTTTGCTGCGAATCCACATAGGCTTTGTACGCTTTCATCAGGTTTTTCCAACTGTTTTCACATTGTTCTGCAGACGGATGTAGTTCCTCGTCCGGGAATGTTACTGCAATTCGCTGGGAAATCCGGTTCCACACACTCTTTTTCCTCCAGTTGATGTCTTGAAACAAGCCGTCATTTTCAGACCGTGCCGAAATTAGTTCCGGCGTCAGCCGTCTTGTCCACTGAAAGCCAGGCCTACGATCTTGGCCACTGGGCTGAGGGGGCTTTGACGCAAGACTTTCAGCTGCCATTGTCAGGAACGAGAAAGATGAGGGAGATAGTGAATACTAATCGTGCTGAATGCCTTTTATATGCGAGGAAAAGTTGTCCCTCACGTCATTCTCGCCATACTAGGATCATCTCTCCGGTCTGGTCCGGCCATGTTTGCAATTTCGGTGCCAATCTTGGCAATTTGCCGCCCAATGAGCCGCAGTTGTAGAAGCAGTAACAGCAAACATTGGAGTGAGTTGATTTGGAAGGAAGCACAAATGGAAGAAATTGAAAGCTCCACGTGTTGATGGCCCAAGTGAAAAGGGCTCTCACAGGTTCCGCATCTCCATATGTTGAATTTCGCTGTACATGTCGGCTATTTTCCGCCCGATGAGCCGCAGTTGTAGAAGCAGCAACAGCCAAAATTGGAGTGAGTTGAATCGGAACGAAGCATAAACGGACTAATGTGAAACCTCCACGTGTTGATGTCCCGAGTGAAAAGTGCTCCCGATCCCACGGGTTCCGTATCTCCATGTCCATATGTGTTGAATTCCGCTTCAAACGTGGGCTAGTTGCCGCATAATGAGCCGCAGTGGTAGAAGCCGCAATAACAGCCAAAATTGGAGTGAGTTGAATTGGAACGAAGCACAAATGGAAGAAAACGAAACTTCCCCGTCGACTGTTGGTGGCCCGAGGGAAAAGAGCTCCATGGATCCAACGGGTTCCGCATCTCCATATGTTGAATTTCGCTGCCACTCAGGGCTGTTTGCCAGCAAAGGATACGCAATGGTTGAAACGGTAAACCAAAAAATAACAAAGGAATGAAACAACCAAACTTTTGCTGTGCAAGGCGTGAGGAAAAGCATTCCCGCGGGTTGGGTCCCGCCAAATGTGCAGTTGTCGTGGCAAAAAAGGTTGATTGGCAAAAAGGATCCGTTGGATCCGGTCAACCCCACTCCCCGAGGTGGGTTGACGGGATCCAAATCCAAAGGATCCGGATTCGACCAATCGAAAGGGTGCGAATCCAGTGGAATCCAGTGGATCGGGATCCCGACCCTACCAAACGAACATGCCCTAAGACAGTTTTTAAACTGGTTATCCTCGAAGCCTGTTTTTGTCTTGCTTGTCCGGAGGCATGTACACTTTCGTATGTGCGTAGAATAGTTGCAAACAAGGCGAGGGAACCGGATAATCGAACACACCTACTGTATGTATGCACTGCATATGCTGTAAATCGGTAACCAACGATTTTCTTCCGGATGGCAAAGGATCCGGATAAAAGAGGACCGGATAAGCGAGGTCTGACTGTCCCAGCAATATATTCAAACTTTGGCACTACTTCATGAAAGGAGATTTAGGTTGTGTTTTTGTTTCTGGGAGAAAACATTTCTGTGCTATTCACCCTGCAGACGTAGAATTATGTGATAGTATGGGGCTGAGAGCCTTACCGAGAGTATCATATACATTGGCATCACCTACAGCGCTGGCTTAGCAGCAAATGAGTTAGCTTAAATCGACAATGACAAGATACCTCGTCATGCACATGAAGCATGGACCACTGTACAAACTGCTTTACATTCGGTGGTGGAAGAAGTGGCCGCATATTAATTTTAGTGACCTTGCCCAACGCTTGCCGAGCTGACTGGGTGCTGACGTTGGATAAGGAATATCCGATTAGCGATGGACCTGCAGCTTCCACTGATATGGACCATTCAAATCAACACCCACAGTCCGACATGCCCTGATATAATTTTTTAAACGGACTTTCCACTCAATTCAGTGTGTTGTGATGCTGCGAACATTCAAGTGTAGCGAACTGTGAGCGAGTGATGCAATGGAGCCTTTTGTGTTGTCTTTTCTGCGCAGAGCACTGTGCTAATGGCGTTCTGGCCCAGGACCTGAGTTGCAAGTGCAACCGCACTGTCTTCTATGGAGAATACTGTGAAAAGGGTAAGACTGCAGGATAAAACTGTCTAAGTCTGTGTGGATTATACATGTACTACAATGGAAATAACCCGCTGGTGAACGGGGTATACTGATGTCTATATTTAAGGACCAACAAAATCCGCGTGTGGCTTATACTCAAGTGCAGCTTAATTAAGGCCAACACAACACCACTTTCTGCGACGCAACTTGCGACAGTTGCGACTAGAAACTGTCTGTCCCGAGCTGTCGCGTACAGTCGCAAGGCACCTGTCGCAGAAGTTGAAGAAAGTTCAACTTTTGCGACATGTGACGTTCGACATGCACAAATGGAGTACAGTTTCTACCCTGGGTGCTCATGCAGTGCACATGCATAGTACTACTACACGGGTGTTTGCAGTGCATGAACTCTGGCCAGTCGTCCCCGTACGCGAAATGCGTACGCATTCGGATCTACCGTACATTTCCTCGTGTTTTGGGCGAGTCTGAGCGGTACGACGCGGTCGAATTGGGCCTGATTTTGCCCTGAACCAGCCGCTATCGAAGTAAAATTAGGCATTTTGAAGGCTACACGGGAACGCTGCGGCCATGTCTTCTTTCCTGCGTCTTTTGTTTGAAAATCTTAGTGTTTTTGAGCTCGTAGATTTGTCTTCAATGTGGAATGGCCGTGCGTACATTCTCCTTGGAATTACCAATGTCACACCCCCGTTTATTACATTACTAGGAGTTTGGCCGGCAGCCACGATAGTTTTTATCCCTGGTTCCATATGTCCTTTCATTGAACAGCCAAACGAAACTTTGTTTGTCACTTTGAGTTGTACACAACAACCACATCAACACCTCAAAGAACCAAAAAACCAAGTGAGCAAAGTATTTCAATGTTTCGCTTCTGCCTGGCCTGCTGTGAAGATGGAGACTTCTACTCGGTAGCAGATACTCGTATCAATAAGCTGGGAGGGAGAGCGTGTCCAGTAAAATGTTAGGATAAAAAGAGCCACATTCTCTCTCGGAAAAGGTCGTCGATCCAACACACTTGCTCTACCCAGATCTGTAGTAGGCTAGATTTTGCATGCACGTGCGAGATTCGCATCCGCCGCGCACAAAGCCAAAGACGAAATTTGTGTACACTCGGATTTGCCGCCATCTTGACGAGTGGCCTCTGCACACTAGTGCATAAGGATTTCGCATACATGAAAAAAAAGATTGTGAACTGTGTGTCGCTGTCACGGCTTGTTGCAGCTCGTCGCAGGTGTCACAAGTCGCATGTCGCGTTTCTAGAAGTTGTATTGTGAATCGGCCTTTATACTCGAATGTGGATTTTACTCTGGAAAATACTGTACATAACCAAGTGCTGATATCACGACCGTATTTCCACACCCAGATTTTTTTGCCACGAATTGCAGCTACCTACCCTATAGTTTGGAAGCTTGCACATCATTGTGAACCTGATGAAGGCAATTTGCCGAAACGTTGGAATAATTGTTGTGAAATGAGTTGAACTATTGCAGTGTTAATGGAAGAGAGCGTGTGGGCTCTACTCTCAACTGTTTATGAAAATGCAGGAAGCCTCTCCACTTTTACTACCCTATCTATTGCCGTTAATTAATTTGACGCAGAATAGGCCTCACCCCTATTTTTTGGGGTTGAACTAGTGATGTGTGGCTTTTATACTCTGGGAAATCTGGTGCTTAGACAGTCTGGCTCAACCACTGGTAACTTGTTTGTGGTTCAATTGCTCCTGTCATGCTTCTCATTGCATAGCATGCCGTGATGCTTTTCCTTGCCATTCCCTGCTCTTGTTGCGCATGCATGAACATATCGTATCTCTACAGACGACTGCAAGTGCTTGAACCAGGGTCAGTGTGACAACGAGGGTAAATGCATCTGCCCGACAAGATTCTACGGAGAACATTGCCAACTCGGTAGGTAACAAGATATTCATTTTTGTCAATGCAAACAGATATTTTCACTCATTGCATATAAGGCTGAGGTTGTGATCGTTTCTTCATACCCTGATCCAGATCCAGACCCACTACTACTATAATCACTCCGTTTGAATGTGGTGGATCTCCCCCCAGTGCACCTGGGGTGTTGTGTAATCTGGATGTTTAAAAAAACTGCTTTGACGTGTCACACCCGATGATGATCATGAATCATGTACTAACCATGCTGTGCTGTTCTGTTGCTATTTTTGTTGTGCACTGAAACAATATGTACGTCATGCACTGCACACTATAACTGCTGCAGAGTGCAGAACATGTCTGAACCAGGGTCGCTGTAATGAAGACGGCACCTGCACCTGCGCTGAAGGATGGATTGGTGACCGGTGCCAGACTCGTAAGCGTCTACTTAATGAAGCGAATACGCTGCATTCCTTCGGCGTGCGTACTGCATGTTGCAGTTACATTTCTTTCGCTTTGTAAATCTATGTCCAGTGAAAGTAATGCCATGTGTTCGGATTACAGTCCGCATTTTAAACACTCCTAATTTACACCCCCCAAAAAATAAAAGGTCTGTGCTGCTCACACTCCAGTGGTTAAAATTAATACACCACGATGTAAAGGGTGGATGGGTATAATCTGGGCACGGATAATACTCAGGTGCGGCGATTACTCTGGAAAGTATGGTACATTGTAGTAGTTGATTTGCCTGTCGTCGGTTGGACTAGTTGAGCCAACTTGCATGCATGAATGGCGGTCATCGGCCCCAGCAACTTCTGGTCTCCTGGCTTGTTGCAAAATGCCCATTTTGTGTCACCCGGGAAACACTAGCGGGACTTGATCACAGCGGATTTTGAGAAGTGGAGTGTCCCTGCCTCATTAATATCATCAAGAGACCATAATCCCGCAGAGTGCGCAACTAGAATGGGGTTGTGGGACGGCGTAATCCGTGATTTACGTCATGTTTGGGTCGGACTTGCGTCATTGCGTCGACGCGGTCAACCACGGTTCACATTTTCCCTACTCATGATGTCACACTATGACGTTCAACACGCATTTCGTCCCAGATCTGATCAGTGAAGTTGCGCACTCTGGAGGATTATGGATTCTTGATATAATGGTTTGACCTTGCTTGCAGCCGCCGTGAATGGTTTGTCGATGATGTAAGCCGAGTAGATTTATGTCAGGGAAATGCCAATTTTCTACTCCACTGGCCGAGTGGAGTGAAGAAATTAAGCTTTCCCCAGTGGTCACTAGAACAGGTTGGCACTACAGGCACACTACATCGCCTGATGTGAGTTTTCGCCATCACCAGACCCCATAGAACGGGTAGCCAGGCCGTTGTAGATGTTGGATGGGATGTGTTCTGGTCCAATGGATTGAAATAATCAGCTCCTACTCAAGCCCGTCCAGCATCTCGACATAAAGAACAGTATTGGCCGTGGATTTACAAGCCAAAAGTCTGCTCCATCTGTCATGCCGTGCCCCTCAAAGACTGTGAAAGTCCCTAAATAGTACCTCACATCTTTTTTTTCTCGATATCTGCTGCGGGCATAATTTGCATGCTGCACACGTTTTTCTTTGGGAGGTTCGTAGGCTGATTTCTTACTGTTATGCCAATGTCTGGCATACTGACCAATGTTGTTGTTGTGTGTTGGTTTGATGTAGGGTGTGCGGACACGGACCCATGCTGCGTGAACAAGCGCATCGTGACACGCCGGGATCAGGTCTGCCGTGCCGCCACCAGCGACTGTGACGTGGAGGAGTACTGCGACGGCGAGAATGCCACATGTCCACAGGACCTGACCGCACGCAACGGCTGGCCTTGCTCCAATAGTCAAGCATCCTGCTGGAGTGGAGTTTGCCAATCACGAACTGGCCAGTGTCAGAGTGTCTGGAACGATATGGATCAAGGGTCAGCTCCTGAGGATTGCTTCGCGATCATGAACGTTTTTGGAGAACGTACGGGTAACTGTGGTTTCAAATCGTCCAATTCCACCCCAGGATCCTATGCAGCCTGTGCGGCTGGAGATGCCCTATGTGGTAGTTTGTTCTGCCTTCCAGTTGCTCGAAAGAACCAACCCAGTAGTGATGTTCTGTCAAAAACCGTTCCCGTACGCGGTGATGGCGGTATAATCAGGTGCAATGGTTTGTACGCGTCCCCGCCAAGAAGCCACGATGACCCATCGCTCGTGAAGGACGGAACACGCTGTGATGCCAGCGGCGCTAACAAGGACCTCGTGTGCCACAAGCAACGCTGCGTGGACCAGTCTCGAGTCACCAGTCAGTGTTCGGTCGATGCTGACAGCGGCAAAGAGTGTGGTGGAGTCGGTGTCTGTACAAATGTAACAACCTGCCTTTACCAACCCACACCTGGTAAGTTTTTATTTTTTTGTTTTCACTGAATACCACAGAACCATCAGATGCTGCACAGCGGTGGCGGTGACATATTGGATGGAAGTGGGGGCGGGGCAAAAGTAACTCCTCCAACCAAAGGTCTCCGAATCATCTTTACTAAGTTACCCTCATAGTGTGCGTTTTCAATTCATTTTTAGTTTCTGTACGTCCACGGTGCGTTTGGTTGGTACGATCTAGAACAGGATCGAACAGCTGGTGCACATGGCGCAGCCCCATGCCAACTGCACGGTACTCCAGAAACAGAGCACATTTTTGTGAAAAAAATATGCCAAACTTAGTACATACTTCAAAATGTGTATGTGTCACCATGGTGACTGTGTACAGTACGAAGAGTCCAACCCCAAAGTGTGTGCACGTGATCATTTGGGACCAAAATCGATGTACCCGCCAGGTTCCACAGTGAAAAAGTGAAACTGCTCGGTTTGCTCCGGCCTCGAGGCCGGAGCAAGCAGAACATGTTCTGGCCGACCCAGAACAGGTGCAGTGCCAACCAAACGCGCTGTTCTGGTGAATCCTGTTCTAGGTTGTACCAACCAAATGCGCCCCCAGTTGGCATATGGATGCAATGTGCTACAGATCTTGGCTCTCAAACTATTGCTGCTACATGCAATGTACAAGCAAAAAATAGCCGTCACGCCTTTTTGAGAGCTGCCTTACTGCATGTGAGCAAAACTCTGTATCCTCCAACCAAAATTTTCATCGGCTCACATACTCAACGTAGAATGGTCATTCAAAGTCCTCAAATTCCTGAGGCTCAAGCTATTCTGACCTCTACTTTGCACCAGCCATGCAACCATGACCTACAGGGAACGTAACCTTTCTTGGGCATGCTGTTCACAGACGTGCTCGGCTCACACGCAATTTGTAAAAAAAATGGTCGTATCTGTGGTTCGCTCTTTGGTGCTATTACTGTCCTCGCAATTGGAACAGGCCCGGCCAAAAGCGGTATGGTTGCCAGGCATACTAACCACTCAGCTATGCATATGGTTACGTGTGGATACACGGAATTCGCAAAAACAACTTCGTAGCACGTCCTGTGGTACTGCGCTGTAGGACTGTTTGTCAGGATGGTTCATGTGCAGTGCGATCGCAGAAAGACCGGAAGTTGTGTGCGGATTGGATCACGTTTTCCAGTTTGAATTTTCTTCACATCGCGGATGTTCGAGCTGGGAAGGCAGAAGAACAGAGGTTCGAATATTCAGGGGTTTTCGGCCCTAACGCAAACCCAGATTTTGCAATTTCACGAGAGTTTAAAAAGCCTCAGTACAGCTCCTGAAAAGACTTTTTAAGTAATAATGATACGGTGGCAAAGACATACCTTTAATGACCAGAGAAATGGTGGTAGCTACTAGTTACTAGCAAGAGTAGATAAACAAGAGTGCGCAACTCCGGATCTCTCCTGCACAATCTGCAAATACCCCCGCCCACTGCAGAATTTTTTTTTCAGAGAAACGCGCATTTTGCCGCAGAGCAGTGCAGAGTAGGCAAAGCCCGATTTTGCCAGTGAAGCTTCGATATTTTGCCGCAACATTTTGCTTTCTCATCGTTAATATTTTGCTTTCATTTTGCCAGGCCACTCGATATTTTGCTCCCTTTTTGCCCCCCAAAAAAAATTGTGTCACATGTGGGAAAAGTGACCGAAAGTGGGTCAAGTGTTGGCAAAAATGAGAAAAAGTGAGTCACGTTTTGCTTAAACTGTGCAAAATTGAGTCACGTGCACCGTGTAAGTGTAAAATCTTCAAATTTCCAGCGAACACACCGATATTTTGCTCCGTTTTGCTAGCAAATTCCCTTTCAGAATTCTTCGATATTTTGCTAGCATAATTGCTAGCAAAATCGCGCTATGCCTAGTCTGGGGCACGTGCTGGGCAGTGGGCTTGTAGTGTAAGTCCGGCCAAGAGCACGAGGGAAAACTTTCCGAAAGACTCGCAGCGCGAGCGTCGTCGAAAAGATTACGCCAATAAAAAAATCTGCCGTGGGACTACCAATACGCGAGTTGCACACACTTGTTTATCTACTATTGATGGCAAGCGAACCGAGCTCCGGACAACCTTCCAGGTTTTGAGCTGACTGCATAGGCAGGAGCACCGGTCACCTCAGAGTTGAGGAAATTCCTAATTTTCGGTGCCATCTGTATCGTAACTTGTTAGGGCCCCGGTCACACATGCACTCGAAAGTAGTGGATCTGCTGAAGCTCGAAGCGACGTCGCAGGAGCGAACAATACCATGGCAACGGCAAAAAGCAGAACTTCCGCCTCAGTGGAAACTCCAATCCGCTTCCTCCAAAATTTTTGAACCAAGACTGTCGCTTCTGCGGTTTCGCTTCAGCGGAAAGCACCACGGTCTGCTGTATAAGGACTTACTACAAGAAATTTGTATGCGTATGATGCCCATGCAACAAAATGCGTGCAAGATGGTCAGTGACCTCGTCTATTGTCCGTACCGTATGCACCACAGCCCACTTTACTGTCATTTTCCGCTGAAGTAGGAGTTTGCCCTGTTTGTATGCGTGACCATACACACGTGGTTTCGCTGGAGCGACACAAGGCTCGCTGTTGCAGAACCTCCATGCTGAAGCGAACCCAAGTTACGTGGGACCGGGCCCTAAGTGTTCCCCTTTCAAATATCACCCTGAGCACTATGAGTTCAGGAGAGCAATATGGAACAAAAAAAGTGAAGATCTAAAGTCAAAATGTTGGTGGGTTTCCATAGTAATTTTTGAAATCAGATTTTGCGAAGAGGGGATGGTATGCTGTTGACTGCTTTGCTGAGATGCTTGTGTGTGTCATCTCTGTTTCTCCGCAACAGAGAGCAACGAGTTCGCTAACACTACCCAGGCTGCTACACCCACGACCAGTTACTCAATAACCAAACCAACGAGCGACCCAGCCACAACTACTCCAACCGAAGTCGTCTAATAGAGTGACGGTGATGAACAGTGCAGTGCATGAAGTGTCAGTAATTGTAACTAGTTACTCATAAACCGGGGGGAATACTACCGACAGGACTAACCTGGTGCCCTTCCACTTACCCACCGATCTTCCATAGCATCCACAATTCGGTCCAGGAAACTCGACAGGCACATGCAGTCGGTGTTACTCCAACAGAACGTTTCCAGGACGTGAAGAGCCTGGCTAACCAAGTGTCTTTCCAGTCCTGATAATTTCCTCCCATTGTAAATTTCAAATCTGCAATTTCAGATCAGTGAAAATCTGAGGCAGACTGATGTCCCATAACCCGCTACGGCTGAGTAATTATGTCGTATTCTAATTAGTAATTATGCATCTATTATTTGCAAGATGATGAGGGCAATAATAGATTGATTCCGACATAGCATACCTTAACTGGTTTAGCTTTGTTGTTGTGTATTGTACTAGCACATAGTATATTCATAAGTCGTCTACATTGCTTATTTATAAACAGATGTTCTCAGTTGTTACTTAGTCTTTTAATGTGTTCCCCAAGTTCTTTGACTGAGAATCTGGCAGTTTGGGCTCAAGTCATTTGGCTCCAGTTTTTTTTCTTTTTTCATTTCTAACTCTTGTTTCTAAGTTGAGGAAAAGTTCTCAATCTTCGGACTTAAGCTCTGGTCACAACTGGTGCGTGTACGCGTGAAACCACGCGTTTGTGCGTATTTTTGCTGTCTTTTGGTGCGCCATGCATACGGAAACGCGCCCAAATGGAAATTCCAGCATGTTGGAATTTACAGCGCGTATCAGGCGCGTACCAGCCTACATGCCATTCACTTTGATTGGCGGGGTCAACAAATTAGTACTCGAAGGTGTCGCCCGCGCTAAATACGACACAGATTGCTGTTTGTAACAAAGCTTAGCAAAAGTACATAGCCCCCAGAGTGTGCAACGCCTGTTCCAGCCCTGCATAGTCCCTGATACCAAGAGTCCATAACCCCCAGAGTGTGCAACTCGTGATCCTTCTCAGCACAAATCAGTGCCGCAACGAAATCCAACCTTCATACGTCATGTAGTGAGTAGCGGATGTACCAGATATGCACATGGCCCCATCCGCCAATGCTTGACTATGGACCGGATGACGCAATGTTTGGATTTCGTTGCGCCAGACCCCAACCTGGAGTTGCACACTCTGGGGGGTTATGGACTCTTGCTGATACTGATAGGGTCTTGGTTGAGCCAGGTTTTACAAAATTAGGACAGGTATACCATGGCAAAATGTGTGGAGAAGCAGATCCCAAACCCAGGTTTTGGAGATTAAAAGCGGGTTTTTGATCCTCAATTCGGCCCAAATTGGACTTTCAAAAGCCAGCGGGACTGTTTCCGATGAATGGACTGTAGTAAAATCCCTTAATTAATCAGGCTGCGAAACATTCGCCGAAAATGAGACTGATCGAAAATCGCTACGCTTTTCGCCGATTTTGGAGGGTTCCTTTGACAATCGTCGAAAATCGACCAAATCTTCTAATAATTATTTCACAAATTTTGAGGCCAACATGCCAACAGTTCTTTTAGCCGATTTTCCAATATATTCCAGTTTTGCAGCCGATTGTCAAACAATCAACTGATTTTGCAGTCGAATCTGATGTATTTTGGACCCGAGCGAAAAGCCGAACAAGCGGAAAAAACGGGCCGGTTTGGGGAAAGCCTACACAAGGGACCTTTCCGAACCTGAGCTTTCGAAGTTGGAAGGTTGCTGGTTTGCGCCTTGGAGAAGTGTTGGACCTAGGTGTCAGGTCGCTGAATGTCTCAGTACTCCCGGCCTTGTCAGTTTTGTGCCATTTTGTCGCACTCGCTGAATGTATAAAGATCTGGTTACGTTGGTGGACAGTTATCATAATATAACAAACAAACAAAAAACTAACTAACTAATACTGCGACAAGAATACCATGTAACAGGAGATGAGCCCTCGCCACGGAGAACGGTTTTGGGAAGCAAATATGCAATGCGCTTGAGAAAAGCCAAAGCCTTGCCTCGACCACCCGTGCCACAAAACAGCAATGGTGCTGGGATTCATGCTGCCATGGAGAATCATAACCAGTAAATTGATGTTGCTGTTTTTTTTTCTTCTTTTTTTCTTTTTTCTTTTTGGTTTCCCGTTCCCGGGGCCTTCTATTCGGTGCTCTTTGTAGTTGTACTTCTGTACTGTTTCATGTTGAGCTACATGTATCCGAATTCCAATAAACACCAAAAAAAGAACAAAAGAAAGAAAAAAACAGTCACATGTACCCATATATTTGGCGTTCCCCTGAGCTACTCAAACAAATATTGTGCTTGACCGCATTACGGTATCTCCGCCTTCTCCGTTAAATCATTTTAAACAAAACGGTTCTGCGCTCCGGCTCTCCGCCTTCTCCGCGAACACAAGAAAACTAGAGGAAAACAAACAAATTCAAGAAGCAAGAATGACAAGAAAGGCAGAAAGTATGAGAACATTTTATTGTTATAAGCCAGCAAAATTTACCCCAGATCTCCAGTTTCAATTTCCACTTGAAACAACCCAGCACGGGAGTCTTCTGCAAGCTGCGCACTCTGCTCAAGCACAAGTCTGTGGGCGGGGGTATGCATATCACGAACGGCATACTGAGAGAAGTGGCATCCATGATCATGCAGTCCCTGTGCCAACACTGGTTTCCGGCTCGGGCAGCTACCTAGTGACTGGAAGTTGGCTACAGTCTTACCTATCTACAAAGACAACGGCAAACATGCGTGGCCAGCTAACTACAGCCTACAGGCCTATCTCTGTATGATGATGTTGTTGTTGTTGCTGCTGCTGCTGGTGCTACTGCCGTGGCTGTCGTTACAGTCCCTCTCGTTGTCAGGAAATGTTTGCTTGTGCCATTCTTCAACCAACCGACTTCAATTGTCACATGACTGACTCACGGCTGCCATCCAGAGCACACGAGAAGTCCATCGAACCGTCCACTCGGCAAACCTGCAAGAAAGCACCACTTCCTGCTCACTACACAGTGTTTCGGGGAATTCACCCCTCATCAGTTGAGCTTGAGTAGGCTGGGGAAGATTGTGCCTGAAGAGCACGACTTATATAGTGCTCTCCAGGCACAAACATCACCAGGGCTACAAACTTACAGAGACGCTCCGTTTCCAGCGCGAAAAACATCTCGTGAACACCAGATAGCAGCGTGAGTCAGTGTCGCTCGTGGAGGTGCTGAACAGACGCTGAGGACCGTTTGCCATTCACAACGTTGTTGCCTCCAAACCATCTAATTCGCATGCCCGCGCCGGGGACAACTCTGTGATGAAGAGGTTGGTGCGACTTCGGCATCCTCACTTGTCTGACTCACGACTGCCATCCAGTCCAGAGCACACGAGAAATCCATCGAACCGTCCACTAGGCAAATGATGAGGGATTAATTCCCAAAAACACTGTTTTTTAAGCAGGGAGTGGTACTTTCTTGCAGGTTTGCCAAGTGGGCGGTTCGATGGACTTCTCGTGCGCTCTGCATGGTAGTCGTGAGTTAGTCAAGTGAGAATTCAAGTCGGCAGGAATAGCGCAAGCTCCCACGTATGAAGCAACACACAATTCCCCAATTGTCTCCGAGGTAGCACCAACCTCTTCTTCACATTCTTCATCCAGTTGAATTTTTATGGTTTTGTATGTTTGTATGCGCATTTGTTAATTTTGCTCCTGAAGTGTCCTCCTTGTTACTTTGCAACATTCCTCCTCCTTCCTACACCCCATTAAATATCACATTCGCTTCCATGTAATTGAGCTTGTAGCCCGTGTGTACTTGCGAATTCAAATAAAAAAACATACAAAACAATCTCCCTGCTGCCGGCCGTAGCCAAGATTCTGGACGCCATCATCGCCGAGCACCTCACCAGTTTCCTCAATAGGCAGGGATTAATAACCGACCGAAAAATTAATTACCGACCACCAGCATTGCTTTGTCTCCTGCTAGTCAACATTCGATCAGCTAATTGTCCTGTCTTCAAGAGTGGATAAAGCACTCGACAAGAGCCCTGTCTACCACGCTGTGTTCTTGTATTTTTCGCGAAAGCGTTTGACAAGGCACCGCACCCTGTTCTTCTCCGCCAGCTCGCTACTTTAATATCCCCTGAAGCCGTTCCTTGGTTCACCAACTACCTCGGAGACCGGTCCTTCTGTGTTAAAGTTCTCTCTGCCAAGTCGCCGACCCATCTAATTTCTGCAGGCGTTCCCCCAGAGTCTCACCTTGGCCCCATTGATTCTTTTCATTCTCTATGTAATGCCCTTCCTCGCACCATATCGTCTGATGTCACTACTGACGTGCTCTTATTTGCCGATGACACTGCTCTTGGTAGAGCAGCCTGAGAACCTAACCAACAACAAATGGTCCACCCCTCCAGGCCGCCACTGATGCCGTTCTGCAGCGGGCTGATTCAGTCCGAGGTTGCTTCAACCCCTCGAAGTCTTGCACCATGCAGTTCATTCCTAGAAGTCGTGCAGAACATGCCCACCCTACTCATCCGACTCCGCACCTGAGTATGCAGGGTCCTGGGAGATGACGTGCCTGATGTATAGGGCTGAAACGAACATAAAATTTGAGTATTCGAACGTTCTTGATGTTAACGATTGAACGAACGAACATTCTCTAACATTCTCCTCACACGCGCGTCCTCGCCCACGAACCGGCATAGGAAAGAAAATAGTGGAATTTTTGAATACAGTACAGCAATAAACCAACTTTTGTTTGCCCACAAATATTTGCGTTATCATGAATGCGGCCGGTTTGTGATGAGAAAATTTTGCGATTTTTACCTCTTTTGAATCTTGTAGTTGTGCTGTCTACAATGCACGTACTGAGCAGTTTGTGGCGATTTTTCTTCTCCAGAATGCGTAATGGCCGCAAAAGGAGAGCAATTTAATCACTTGCAAAAGTTTCTAACTTTACAGTACGTCTTTTATGATGCTTTCAAAAGTTGAGGCACAATGGCCTCAAACTGAGTAACGCCATACTGCTACTGCTGAGGACCAGAACGTTGCGTCACAGCAACGTTTGTCATCAACTTGCTTCCTGTTCAGTGTTGATGCCGTAGAAATAACTGCACTCCCAGAAACGACAGAAGAATGCTGAAAGTTACCGTAGTTGTGTTTTCAGGTGCGCATAGAGGTTGCTCGCCGTTTTGCCATGCTAACCATACGCTGCTGGAAATCCTGCGGGCAGCTGACTTCTCATCTTCAGATTTGGTATTTAAAAATGATCCCAAACAACAGAACGGGGAGCAAGACCGAAAACAGTTTCTGACATGGGAACAGTGCGAACTCTAAACAAAAGAAAACTACGAAGTGGTCAAAGGAAGAGCGAGCAGCAAAAATATGTAAGTACGAGTACTCGTGCTTTGTTCCGATGTTCGTCTACATGTCGTCAGATCGTGAACCGCGCACGCGTGGGTCATGAAGGTCTACCACCTGGCGCAGCGCTGGTCACAAGCACGCAGCTACACATTCCACAGGAGGTGTATGAAACGATCGGTACGCTTTCCAACGGCCAAAGAGAGTTGGAAAGCTTGTGTCTTTGTGGGTAACCTGAACATTTGGGCTCATGCAAAATCGCACCGATTTTGGGATTTCCCCACAACTTTTTGCGTCCGCAAAA